TAGACCCTAAACCCTAAACCCTAAACGGACTTCGGGACTTCGGTGTGTGTGGATCCGCTTCGAGGACTCCTAAAGAAGCTTCGGCTGGCAAACGCACCGACTGCAGCGCCTGTGAAACGTGGCCGTAGCCCTTCCGCGAGATCGGACCTTGCCCCTCAACCCTAAACCCTAAACCCTAAACCCTAATGGCAGGCCTGGCCTCTTCCTCGGCAACGGCTGCTGGCACCTCAAGGTGCTGGTCTCAGGGTTCGGGCTTGACTTTGGGTTCTGCTCTTCTGGGAGAAGGCCCCTCCCAGCCGACACTTCATCGCAACCATCTGTCTGTAGGGTTTAGGGTTTAGGGTTTAGGGTTTAGGGTTTAGGGTTTAGGGTTTAGGGTTTAGGGTTTAGGGTTTAGGGTGTAGGGTTTAGGGTTTAGGGTTTAGGGTTTAGGGTTTAGGGTTTAGGGTTTAGGGTTTAGGGTTTAGGGTTTAGGGTTAGGTTAGGGTTTAGGGGTTAGATTAGGGTTTAGTTTAGGGTTTAGGGTTTAGGGTGATCTTGGAGATGTATACCTGATCCTTCAACCAGGTCAGATGCCTGGGAGATCCGCCGCTCCTCTTGCTGAGCCTGCACAAGGAGGCGCAAGGAGGGGTCATTCAAGCTTTGAGCGCCCTCCCCCCCCCCAAAAAAAAATGTTGGGAAAGGTGGGAAGATGTGCCGCATGACACACAACCCTAACCCCCCCACCTAACCCCCCCCCTCCCCCACGCAAATTTCGAGACGAGCCGATTGGGATGCTCCCCCTTATACTAACAATTTAATAGGGATGATAGTACCCCCCACCTCTTCTAATCCCTCTTGAGGACTGTTAGTATACGGGGGAACATCCCAGGGAGCCGAACATCCAAGAATCACCGCGGAGCGCCTCGTTCGAGCTGCGGCGCGCATCTTTTTGCCTGCAACTTCCCCCCACTGTGGGCATCAGTGCTCTGGCAGCCCTTGTAGACTAGCCATTTACAGGGTGTTCACGAAAAATAGGGGGATCCCCCCCCAAGATGGATCCCACACAGGAGGGATTCCCTTAGAATCAGGACCCCGCCCCCCCCCCCCCAATGAAGGCACCCACCCTGGTTTCGGAGACCCCAAGAATTACGGCAATTAAGGCACACACACACACACCCCCCACATGTTTGCTTAGTTGCTTTATTGCGAACTTTCGTGAGTCGCATCTTGCAGAAGCCATGCCCAGCACCAGGGTTTAGGGTTTAGGGTTTAGGGTTGAGGGTTGAGGGTTGAGGGTTGAGGGTTGAGGGTTTAGGGTTTAGGGTTTAGGGTTTAGGGTTTAGGGTTTAGGGTTTAGGGTACCAACTGCCCGGCAGCAACGCCTGCGTCACAGCACTGCAATGCTGCGGCTCATGACAGCCGGGTTGCCTGAATTTAGGAACCCGAAACCCTAAACCCTAAACCCCGCAAACCGCCACCCCCCCCCAACCAATTGGCATCCTCGCAAGCCCTCAAGTGTCGCTGGTCCTGGGCTGGCCGGCGGCAGCCTGCACTTTGGGGTCTCGGGGCAGCTCTGGGCATCCTCTCACCCTGAGTTGAAACCAATTGGGTTTTGGGTTTAGGATTTAGGGTTTAGGGTTTAGGGTTTAGGGCTTAGGGCTTTGGGCCATGGCAGTAGAGCTTAAGGTTTAGGATTCAAGGGTCTGGGGCTTGTCCAGAACCCCTAAGCCCCAGATCTACCGCAGGCCCAGGGCCGCGTCCGGCCTGCGGAATCGCCGGGCCTTTCTTCGCTTGCTGAAGTCGGGCCTGTCTGCACAGGGTTTGGGTGGTGCCTTGACCCTAAACCCTAAACCCTAAACCCTAAACCCCAAACCCTAGACCCCCTTTGGGCTCTGCGGCGAAGATTAGCAAAGCCTCTGCAGTCCTGCTTTTTCAACTCTTAAACCGCCCACCAGGATCAGGCAAGGCATCCGGTTGCGCCACGTAGTCTGCTCTACCGACGTGAATATTAAATGGGCCAGGGAAAGCAGCAAGCGCGTGAATGGCACCTCCTTTTCAAGGAGATTGCCCTCAGAGTCCGTATGTCAGAATCGCAGCAGCCGGTGCTACACCGAACAAGCATACTGCATGATCCAGACGCAGATTCGCAGACAGGAGCTACAGCTACAGCTCAATTGTCAGCCATCTCGCGCGTCTAGCTCACCTCGGCCAGCACATGGGAAAAGGTTTCCATGTCTTTGCAGCAAACATTCTTGAGATAATAGCCCGCGAGCTTAGCTGCGTGCCCGCTGGACACTGAACTGCAGCCCCACTAGACGCAAGGACTGTGCCACTGGGCGATGTACCCATGTCAAATTGTCATCTTGAAAGCAGAATGAAACTCTCCGAGGCAGCGGTACCCTTGACCTACCTTGTCGAAATTTTGCGCGCGTGCTGGATGCTCACCGTTCCTGATGTCAGGTCGCCCTTGATAACATACATCTACGATCCGGCTTTGTGGAGGCCCCCACGCACATCCCTGCAATTTCATTTCAAACTAATGCGAATTTCATTACAAGTACTTAATAATCATTGAAAAATAGGCAACATGAAGTAAGTTTCATTATTTGCAATTAAACTAGTAATTCGAATGATTAAAAACACGAAATACAATCTAGTTGCTTTGCAATTGCTTGTTTTTGTTATTTCCAATTTTAAGATATTTCAGAACCAACTGCAGCAAAGCCTTCATTTTCATCATTTTAACTAGTATTTTCATTCCCTTTAATGCAGTTGAAATAGTTCTGCCTTTCTTTTCAATGAATTATATTTAGTTCAAATAGTTTGAGATGAAATTACGGAGATGTGCGTGCGGGGAGGGGGGCGGTGGGGGTGGATGAGGGGGGTGGGTAAAGGGGAGTGGGTGGCAACCCCCCCCCTAACTGAAAAGCTGCACTTCGTGGAGAACTATCCGAAGCCCTAAACCCTAAACCCTAAACCCTAAACCCTAAACCCTAAACCGTAAACCGTAAACCCTAAACCCTAAACCCTAAACCCTAAACCCTAGCGCACATTCCAATCACGGGGCGTCCTCAAAGCTCGCCGAGGCGGCGCCGAAGCGCCTTGGAGGCCCTGAACCGGAAGCAGGGTTTCGGGTTTCGGGTTTAGGGTTTGGGTTTAGGGTTTAGGGCTTAGGACTTAGGGTTTAGGGTTTCGGGTTTCGGGTTTAGGGTTTAGGGTTTAGGCTTAGGGTTAGGTGTAGTTTAGGGTTCAGGGTTTGCACAAGAAGCCCTGGGAATCAAGGTTAAAGAAATATACAGACAAGGAGAACAAAGAAACATGCAAGGGCGCCTCTTGAATCGTCAGGGAGCTCGCTGCTTTTGAAATCCGTTGGGATGCTCTCCCCTTATGCTAAGAGTTCTTTATAGGCATACTAGTACCCCGCCATTATAATCCCGATTAAGGACTGTTAGTATACGGGGGCACATCCCAGGAAATCAGGCTTGAGATCCAAGATCCTGGAAATTGTCACCAAGGGAACCTCAAACTCTTGGACGATTCCCCAAGTGCTCACATCATGTTAAAGCTCCCGGACGGGCTTCTCCCAGTTGTTTGAAAAACAAAAAACTCTTGCAAGGTTTCAAAAAGTGACCGTTCAACAAAGGCTATGGAGTTTGGAGATTGCACAGTGGTCTTTCAACATCTTGAATATTTGGAGGAAACTTCCATGATTTACCAGGAGGCCATATATTAATATCGAAATCCTGAACCCTAAAAACCCTGAACCCTAAACCCTAAACCCTAAACTCTAAACCCTAAACCTTTCGGAATGTTAAGGGCGTTCAATTTGACAGCAGGTGCAAGGTGAGTCTCAGAGGACGTTGCTTGGGAATTGCAGCTTTGGATAGCTGTTCTAAGAGGACCCCTGATCGTCAGGGTACCCAAAAGACTCAAAGGAATGATCAGATGTAAAACTGATGTAAAGGTCTATCGATACTAGGCTAGACTCTACTATACCATATAACCCCAGGATTCATGTCATATGGGTGTAGACTTCAGAAGCACGTCCCCCTTATTATTACATCTTCAACCGTAAACCTTAAACCCTCAACCCTCTGACACGGACGGAAAACCACTGATACGGCACTCGCTCGCCTGCAGAATTTGGTCCGTCCGCAGGCCATCTGTGCAGCCGTGCGCATCTGCCCTCGCACCTCCTGCAAGCACACATATATAGGGTTAGGGTCTAGGATCTAGGGTTTAGGGTTTCGAGTTTAGGGTTTAGGGTTTTGGGCTTAGGGTATAGGGTTTAGGGTTTAGGGTTTTAGGCTGAGGCTTTTAGGGTTTTAGGGTTCAGGGTTTAGGGGTTTAGGGTTTTAGGGTTTAGGGTTTGTGCGCCAAGCCCGGCCACTGCGACAGGCACGCAGCCGCCCAAACCATCATGGTTACAGCAGGGTTTGCTGTACACAGGTACAGAGATAACCTTCAAGGAGCGTGGGGCGGGCTCTGGGCCTCGGCCTCTAGCTTCCGTTGCGTGCCGCGTTTTTGTTCGACGCTTTCTGCCTCTGTGGGCTTGCGGCGTCCCTACCTTGAAAGCACGCCTGCGCCTGCTCGAATGCAGGCGCGGGCAAATCATACTGCTGCTTTGCCGGACTCATGATAATGAACCGAGCAAGTGTACGCGACCCATTTTTCCCTCCACAGCTGCCGACCAATAGGTGGTGGCCACTGAACTTAGGGTTGCGGGACCTTGTGGGATTTGGTTTGACAAGGAACTGGATGTCTTGGACACCAGTCACCAAGTGAAGGTAGAAAATTCAAAGGTCGTTGAGAACAAAAACATGCCTCTTATCAGAATGCACGGCCAACAGCGACCTTCCAACTTTCTGGGCGCCACAGCGACATCGTAGCAGGGGCAGTTAAACGCCCTTGATGTAACAAGCTTGGCACACCTTGAAAAAAAAACAACTGCGGGCACATATGGGGGCCTCTGATGCTCTAAGGTTCTTGCTTCCACCGATCGGGGTTTTGAGAAGCCCCTAGAGCTCGCAGGGATTGCTTGGGTCCGCGATGGGCCACCAAAGAATGCCACGATTCAGCCCCATGTAGCCCGCGTCGTTGCAGATGCCGAGGACATAGCTGAGGCCATTTGAGAGAAGGACCAAGAACAGAACAGTGTGATACTGCGCCACTGCAACCACAGCAAAGTGGCCCCAAAAAGGCAGCTCCTGCTTTCCGGGGTCCATGCTTCTGTTGAGAGGGCTTGCAGACAGTACATTCTTGCACTTGACCTGCAAGTCAGAAACCACCTAGATCAACCCTACGAACCACGAAGAGCACGGAAAATGTCGTAGCCCGGGCTACCAGACACGCAGACACTGAACCAACATCGCCAGGATCCAAGACTCCAAAAGCCAAAAGATAAAATCCCTAAACCCTAAACCCTACACCCTAAACCCTAAACCCTAAACCCCCATAATCCTCGTAGGGCTGCTCCCTGTAGGCGAAGTCCAAGGCCTCTCGGATTCTCCAACTTTGGTCCCTCACAGACTCGGCATTTGCAGCTTCACCTGGTAGGGGGTTGCTGCCTAAACCTTAAACACTAAACCCTCACCCTAAACCCCAAACCTTAAACCCTGAACCCGAAACCCTAAACCCCAAACCCTAAACCCGAAACCCGAAACTGGGGTGGATTTGGAGTTTTGGAGATGGTCCAAGATGAAGAAGACATGCAAAATCACCTGCCCACCCCTTCAAGCTTGTGTTACGCTTTCGGGACTTTCCCTTGCACGTGCACGTTCCAATACATGCATGGCAAGCCGCAACTTTAAACCCTAAACACTAAAACCTAAACCCTACACCCTATACCTGGTATAGAATCAGAATCGCTCCGCTCCCGATGGAAAGCCAAGAGGTCAGTCATTCAAAGCTTGAGCAGGCTTACATGGCCGAAACTCAATGGTACTTGGTTAGGGCTTTCCGAAGCAATCCCGATGGTAAGGGTGAGCCAGACCTGGTTGCGTAGGGCCAGGCAGCACCGCAGACAACGATTTGGTGGACTTCTTTCCCGGTGCCTCTCTACTCCGACAGTCAGTGACACAAAGAATCAGCCAAAACTTCTACTTCCCACAGAAAAGGAAAGAAAACTCATTGACGGGCTATGCAAGATGCACGAAGTTGTTGCGCGGCCATGGACTCTACTTCATCATCAGACACGTATGGCGGTCGTGGATGCACCCTCAAGCCCACGTGCGCCAGCATCATGCTCACAACGTCTTCAACAACCTCTGCGGCAAACATCGTTGCAAGTGCCAGCCCTATGCTGTCCTGGCCGGGAGGTAGGACAGGATGCAAGTTCAACACGCGTGCAACAGCAATGGCGCCAACCGCGAAGAATCTGGGATATCCCATGCAATACTTCACATCCTGCAGCAGCAAGCTACATTGAGTTGGAGTGCGGCGGCCACATGTAGAAATCGCAAGTAACAGGTCAACGCCCCCTGCTCTTGCTGTGATGTTCCATAGCAAACCGCACAAGATTGGGACCATGAAGTCCCAGTCTCGGGAGTCATGGGCGATGTCTACCAGAATCAGAGTCAGACGAGCCCCTTCGGCCATCGCGTGAGCGAGCGCCACAGACAGCGAGACAACGATGCCTTGATTTGACTCGAGGTACCTTGGCTTTCACATACACATAAACACACAAAAAAAGAGTAAGAGTAGTAGTACTAGTAGTAGTAGTAGTAGTAGTAGTAGTAGTAGTAGTAGTAGTAGTAGTAGCAGTAGTAGCAGCAGCAGCAGCTGCAGTAGTAGTAGTAGTAGTAGTAGTAGTAGTAGTAGTAGTAGTAGTAGTAGTAGTAGTAGTAGTAGTAGTAGTAGTAGTAGTAGTAGTAGTAGGAGTAGTAGTAGTAGTAGTAGTAGTAGTAGTAGTAGTAGTAGTAGTAGTAGTAGTAGTAGTAGCAGCAGCAGCAGCAGCAGCAGTAGCAGTAGCAGTAGTAGTAGTAGTAGTAGTAGTAGTAGTAGTAGTAGTAGTAGTAGTAGTAGTAGTAGTAGTAGTAGTAGTAGTAGTAGTAGTAGTAGTAGTAGTAGTAGTAGTAGTAGTAGTAGTAGTAGTAGTAGTAGTAGTAGTAGTAGTAGTAGTAGTAGTAGTAGTACTAGTAGTAGTAGTAGTAGTAGTAGTAGTAGTAGTAGTAGTACTAGTACTAGTACTAGTACTAGTACTAGTACTAGTACTAGTACCAGTACTAGTACTACTGGTAGTAGTAGTAGTAGTAGTAGCAGCAGCAGTAGTAGCAGTAGTAGCAGTAGTAGTAGGAGGAGAAATAATAAGAAGAAGAATACTTCTAATAACAGTAACAATAACACGCGCGTGTCCTAAGGAGACCAGCCCCCACAAATGCGTATGTGCTGCTGCTCACGAACAGCCTTGTTGGTCACAAACTTCCGCGAGAAAGCTTGCCCAATTATCATTGTCGCAATCAGCTCATAGATGCCAAGGACAGGGGGCATGAGAATACCTGCTCGGGTGTGGCCGCCCCCTCCCCAGAACTTCACCCTAAGCCCGGAAACCCGGAAGGGGGGGGCCAGAGCAGGGGTTCTGCAAAACTAAACCCCCAACCCCAAAACCACTGGAACTTCAAACCCTCGTGAACGGCCTAACCAGGCCCCCACCAGGCGTTTCGCCATGCTGTAGGCCGTGGTCCCAGCAAAGAAGCCAATAAGGATGACACCCAGGGTGGCCGGACCTGAGTTGGACAATTCGTGGTTTAGGGTTGGGGTTTGTTTTGGGGGGGAGGAGGGGAGGGGAGGGGAGACGGGGCATCTGGCAAGGTTGGGAGGCCTGTGGAACCTGGTTGAGTGGTCGTGAGTTGGCAACAGCACGTTATGCCTGATGAAATATAGGCACACTCAACCTAGAAAGGGTGACAATGCAGATGAGTCGAGAAAAGCGGCCCATCGCGGCAGCATAGGGTATGACGACGGGATCTGGAAGTGGGTTGATGAATGGAGCGATGCTCTCGCACACTACGATCACGATGATATGGCCCAGGCCATAAACCAAGATGAAGCCACAGTACCTGGCAACGTGTAAGGGCTCTAGCTCTGTGCAAGCAGTGACGGGGTGAAGAACAAGAAGGCACCGACGCTCCAAACTCTGAGCCCTTCCGCCCCTTCCACACAGAATGCAAGCGGCTGGTGTGAATCACCGATGTACATGCTGATGCCGATGACGTAGATGGACAAGCATATCCCATGCATTAGCAGACTTGCAGCGAAGCCTCTATAAACACTTTGTCCCGCTTGCTGCGCTAAGTCAGGCATCTGAACTGGGCCAAGACCAGTGTTGCAGCAAACAAGGCTTGTGTTTCCTGGGGACCTCCCATAGACAGTAAAGCTGCGTATGTTGGAGATGCCGATGATATGAACGGGCACGAAGTACATGCATATCCAGCCAAGACAGCGGAAGATGATAACCCACCTTTCATCTCGCGGAAATCCAGGGATGCCGACCTCCGCGATGCTCCAAGCCATAAGCCCCGCAAGCATAAAGAGAAAGGCAAAGAAGGAAGCCAAAAGGGTCATAGACATGCTGGGCTTGCACAGCACCACCTCTCCATATGGAGCCGACCCATCAGGGTCGAAGGAGTTTTGAGTCCCCTTCCGCCGGATCTCGCTACAGATAGAGGGAAGTCTTGGTGGCCTTAGCTCCTTTGGGCTCCCTGGGGGCGATGCAGGTGCAGAAGTTGCAGGGGCACCCGCTGGCGCAGCTGGCCCGTCTGCCATCTAGCTGGTAAAAGCCATGGCTGCGCTCAAAAAGCGCTGACCCTGAAACACCTTCGGCCACTACTAACAACCCCGAAAATCATCCATGAAATCCCCACACGAAATACCGGTGCACCCGGGCGCAGAGTCTGGGTTTAATGGCAGCAGTTGATGTGAACTGCTGTGGACGGCAATCGTGCTCCAGACTCGGCAAGAAGCAAGAAGCCTGGGCTAAGCAGAAGCAGCAACATTACATATCACGTACATTGATAACTGTAGTTGCATTGGCAGTTCTTGGTCTGGGGAGCAGAAAACACCACACCAGCTGCATGTCAAAGGCTCGTGAGATGCGAGCTGCATGACATGCCCGCTGCGGCCTGTTCCCTCTCAGTGGGGTTGTTCGCGACGAGTTTGTCAAACTCTGTCAGCATAGCACCTGGCTTCCTACTGAGGGTTTAGGGTTTAGGGTTTAGGGTTTAGGGTTTAGGGTTGAGGGTAATCAGAGGCTTCGTAGCCCCAAGCCCGGGCGACATCTCTCGAATGTACTGACTGGAGATGGGCCCAAGCACACAATCGAGCTAGTCCTCGGTGGAACCCTGGCGCAAAAGGCACCCTAAACCCTAAACCCTAAACCCGGTCATGGTACAATCGGCGACCAGAGCCGCAATGTAGGGCTTCGCGGATGTCTGCCCCCCCCCCCCCCCCGTAAATTGGAGGCGTGGGCTCCTCAATGTTCACATGAGACAATCCCGACATCTTAATCCAGTCATCTCCACCAGAACTTGCTGCCATGTGCACTGTGGAGGCTATCGGCGTCTTGCCGGAAGACTTCGAGACAAGCATGCTCCACCGCGAAGGACTTCCAGTGAAACGCCAGCTCGCTCCTGGCTAAGCCCTAAACCTCAAAAGGCCAAAGCCCAAAAAAGAAGAAGAAGAAGCGTAGCTTTTTTGCCTCCACACTAAGGGCAACGATGCACCCAAACTCCGAGCAAGCGTCAAGGACAATGTTGGGGCGTTTGGGGGGTTTGGGGAGTTTAATCTAATGATGGGGTTTTACACTCTGGGGGATGACAATCATGACGGCGACGGCGACGGCGATTTCGACGATCATACGAGGATGCGACGATACGCTGCACAAGGATGATGAGTATGAGGAGGATGAGAATGATCAATGAAAGAGGACCGACGGCAAGAAGGAGGAGAAGGCGGATGACGGTGACAGTAACGACCGCCACGACGAAGGATGGTGATAAGGATGCATTTGCAGAGCCCTGATGACAAGCGTGCAATGGAACTGCCGGCTACCGGCCATCGAGCTACTGCCGGGCAGTGCAAAATTTGACTGAGAGGAGAGGTGAAGAGATTACACCTTGTGCCATCAAGGCTCTTGTTGATCTCCTCATAGAAGGGCTCGGACTGGCTCTTCGTAGCCCTGCACGCATCGGGATTACAAGTGTCAAAAACTTGGATGTTCCCCCTTATACTAACAGTCCTTAGTAGGGATCATAGTACCCCTTACTTAGGACTGTTAGCATAAGGGGGAACATCCCAAGTCATCACAAAGAAAAAGCAGGTGAGAAGAAGGTGCATGTGCGAACGCATCTTATGGGCACATGTGTCCAACAGCTGACAGCTCGAGGCTGACGCTGAAGCGATCTCCCGGGCCACATCTCTCCCAAATCCACGTTAGGGTTTAGGGTTTAGGGTTTAGGGTTTAGGGTTTAGGGTTTAGGGTTTAGGGTTTAGGGTTCAGGGTTCAGGGTTTAGGGTTTAGGGTTTAGGGTTTAGGGTTTCAGTGGCTGTTGCCTCAGCTCGGCTGTGCCGTCTGGCAAGGTGGCCACCTGATGGATGCGCGGGTCCGATCATTAGGGCTATAAAGGGAGTTCCGATTGGGTTTAGTTACCCTTTGGTTTAGGGTTTAGGTTTAGGGTTTAGGGTTTAGGGTTTAGGGTTTAGGGTTTAGGGTTTAGGGTTTAGGTTTTAGGGTCTAGGCGTGAGTTCCTACAGACAGGGTTGTACCTAGTATTTTGGGGTACATAAGAGGGCGACAGCAAACTATCCTCTTCAGGCTGCTGAGAAGTTTCAGCGGGAGGTATAGGATATTAGGGGAGGGAGCAAACCAGTCCATCAGGAAATGGGTTTGCTTGCGTCTCCCGCGAGCGACTTGAAACATATCATCCCAGCCTGTCGTTCTTGAGAAGGGCTTTGGGTCTCTGTAAAGCATTTCCGGAGGAGCTTGCGCGATTTGAGGGATCAAACGTGCGCGTGGCTGAGCTCAAGCCACCTTTACAAGCTGTGACAGCTGTTGACATCGCAGCAGCTGCTGAAACAAGCGAAAGGGCTTCCCCCCACTTCCCCACCATGGAACTGACTGCCATGCTGCTACTATACTCCCCTTAGAACCTGAATAAACATGTTTAATATCCTCGTGGGTTTTATATAAACAAAAAAAGATCCCAAGGGGATATAGGCAAAGGCTGCGGCCTCGAGTTTCAGCCGCTTGAACAGCGTCGCAAGGCGCTTCATGCCACAAAACACTTTAGCCTGCAGCGCGTTCAAGGCTAGCAGGCAGAGGCATGGAGGTGCTAAGTTTAGGGTTTAGGGTTTAGGGTTTAGGGTTTAGGGTTTGGGGTTTAGGGTGTAGGGGTGTAGGGGTGTAGGGGTGTAGGGGTGTAGGGGTTAGGGGTTAGGGGTTAGGGGTTAGGGGTTAGGGGTTAGGGGTTAGGGGTTAGGGGTTAGGGGTTAGGGGTTAGGGGTTAGGGGTTAGGGGTTAGGGGTTAGGGTTTAGGGTTTAGGGTTTAGGGTTTAGGGTTTAGGGTTTAGGGTTTAGGGTTTAGGGTTTAGGGTTTAGGGTAAGAAGCTTTGCAGCTGGGAGGGCTGTCCACTTCATGCTGAATGAAGGCACAGCAGCTTGAAAGAACGACCTATATCATCATGCTGCAAGCACCCGTTTGCGCTGCCGCAGTGTACATGCTTCCTGCTTGCCCAAGCTGCATCACCGAGGTGCTCTATGAACTCCTGAAACAGCCCCAAAAACCCGCACTCAGCCGATTCTCAACTCCATAGTCTCACAAAGCACTCCCGGTTCCTAAGCCCTAAACCCTAAACCCTAAACCCTAAACCCTAAACCCTAAACCCTAAACCGCGTCCTCCGACGCGAGGATCTTCCTGCACGCGAAACTCCCAACGCGTCCAACGATGCAGCGCCGGATGCATTTGGAAGCTCTTACCGTTGGGCCGGGCTTTGGGTTCCAAACTTTCTTTGGGTCGAGGGTTTAGGGTTTAGGGTTTAGGGTATAGGGTTTAGGGTTTAGGGTTTAGGGTTTAGGGTTTAGGGTTTAGGGTTTAGGGTTTAGGGTTTAGGGTTTAGGGTTTGGGGTTTTTTAGGTTTAGGGTTTAGGGTTTAGGGTTTAGGTTTAGGGTTTAGGGTTTAGGGTTTAGGGTTTAGGGTTTAGGGTTTAGGGTTTAGGGTTTAGGGTTTAGGGGGTTTAGGGTACGGGGGGCAACCGAAGGAGGACAGGGAACAAAACAGTCAACCCCAACAGAAGCCCTTGATCCCCTGGACCAACCAACAACAAACCAACCCAAAACACCAAGCACCCTTTGTTCTCGAGGCGCATGGCCCGATCTTGAGCCATAAAGATTACCGGGTATGTTGACCCTTCAACTTCCAACACCAACTCCTTTCTACAATACCAACTGCAGCTCCGCACTCCCCCTGTCCTAGGATTTCCTAGGACACATTGGAGGTGCAGATCTTTGGCCAAAAACTGCCATTAGGGCAGCAGCCAACTGCTTGAAATGCACAATATGGTTTTACGTCATCCAGGACGAAATTATAGCACATTGGCTAAACCCACTAACCACAGAGAATCTTTTTTCACCATGATCCTCTTTTCATTGAAGACTCTTCGGCCTTCTTCACCACAAACTGTGGTCTTCGCTACGCGAAAAGCTACTGACTTCTACTATCAGGGATTTCCATACCCTTAATAGTAACCACCATATTTTCAGCACATTGGCTGATCCAGCGCACCTGTCTTCTGAAAGAGAAAAACCATCCCTTCATCCATACCATCCAGTCACTTCTTCTTCCGATGGGTATCGATACTGAGGTGAAGTCGCAGCAGAACATACTCTAGGTCCGAAACTGTAAGAACAGGATCCTGCACGCACCTTTGAATTGAGGATACCAATCCTTCTCTCTTTGCGTCCTCAATCGCTTGGCAAGATTGACCCAGCTCTGCATCCACAGCAGTAGACGCTTGCGCATCCACATCAGAGGAACGATCCTTTTCCTCAGGACCTTTCACCACTACCACCTCTTCCTTTTTGGGGCTTTGACTTTTCTCCTTCTTCTTCGTCTTTCCCACGACGCTTGACTTTGTGCGCATTTTCGAGGCTTTTTCCCCTGCAGAAACCACCGCATTGGATGATGATCCACCCTTCTCAATGTTCGCCGGCATCTTCTTCGGCTTTGGAACCATGAGAGTGTAAGGATCTTCGATAGCTGCAGTTTTCCTCTTCTTTTTGACCTTTTTCACCTCCTCCTCAACGGCAACCTCCGTCTCCGAAGTCTCAACCACCTCCTTTTCGGCAGGAATATCCTTGCTGGACTCCCTTTCTAGGGACCTCTTTTTGCCTCTTTTGGGATCTTTCTCTTCTCCCACGTTGGCTCGCTCGAACCATATCCTCAGGTCATTGACCCATTCTTCCACCTCCGCGAGCGAAACCTCATACGACTTCACTATTTCGTGAAGTTCCAGCAAGGACAGCATACCAGTGGTCCACGAACACCATTCTCTATCCATCTGGTCAGCGTCTCCATTGAACTTCAGGAGTTTGAACAGTGGGTCCGCCTCTGCACGAGCCAAATCTGACTTGCCATTGGACAGAAATGAAATCGCCTCCATCAACAGTTCCACCATTTTGGTATCATCGTCATAAACCATGAAATCCTCCTCACCATCATCGAACCGTTCAGGAGAGATCTCCTTTTCTCCACCTTTTGCACCAGAACTTCTCCTTGGACCGTCCCTTGGGGGCGTCCTTGGAGACCTTGGCCTCTGTTCATCCAGCGGATCACCATGCTCAAAGACACACCTGTCCCCATAACGACACTTCCCAGACTGAGCAAACTGGATACACCTTACACCAGTTGCATCATGCGAGAACGCACACTCCTTTCCAGCGAAGCAGGGTCTCCCCGCCACATAGTATTTGCACCAATACGAATGCAGCACCACATCATCTTCTGAATGGATGAGTTTGCAGTCTTCACCAAATTTGCAGCGATCTTTTCCCCTGCTGAACCAATAGCAGAAGCCTTTCTTCCTCTTCTCCAAGCGCTCCGCCTCGTACCGGTCCATAGGGCGATTCTGCTCTACATGAACATTGCCATGTACCTGAGAACTGCTCCCTTCACCCAAGGTGCTATCAGTATTTGATGCTTGGAGTACAGCTGGAAAACCTGGCCTTGGTCCTACCACCTTCATGATTGGTTTTCCGCCAGCTCCTGAGCCACGCTGAGACGATCCAAAAACATTGAACATTTTCATGAAGGCCTTTCTAGCGCCGATCTTCTGCACCCTTTTGATTGGATGTTTCATTGCTCCAACCTTGCATCCAGATACGTTCAAACGACACAACCTCCTATACCCAGCTCTATATCCCTTCTTCCAAAGAGCCATGAGAATTCTAGAGGCAGTAACATTCTCCACCTCCACCTTTTCCAACTGTCCCTCACTTTCCGGAACAAACCCATCCAACCTATCCATATCTGAAGACCTTTCCATCCTTTTTGACACCACTTCGTCGAGGTAGTCTTCAGAGATCCAGAGTAAGTTCCTCTTAGAGGAAAGATTGTCACCATTGTCTGGTCCTTCACCAGGATACCCCTTTGTGCTGTCAAAGATCTTACCAGTCGTGCGGTCCTGCGTAGAAAAATCCCAGTTGGAAGTAACGCGAGCATACACTGACCACAAGAACATCCTTGTGCCAGCCAATCTTGACGACCCACTGGATGTCTCCTCTTCTGGGGAAACTTCTGGCGCTTTGCCATCCCTTCCAGTGTCACCAATTGTCTCACCTCCAGCATCTTCAATGGGAATAGGGGATTCATTGTTCCCTTGATCAAGTACCGCATCTTCCTGTCCAAGAATCTCCAGCACCATTGTGGAAGGATCCACTTCCTCATCAGCATCGTCGTCCATCCTTTTCCAGAGAACCTCCAATTGATCGGCACATGTCGCCGCCTGAAGAAACTCCATCAATTGAGCCTTCCCGCGCTGCCAGAGAAATTCCGAAATCACCACTGACCCTTGGCCTCCTAGGGTAAGGAACGGAGCAACCAACTTGGCTACCCTCGCCATAAGTTCAACGTGAACTTCCACGCCTGGACTGCGACTCCAATCGTAGGCAATTGCCTCCATAGCAGTTCCAAACTTATCAGTATTTTTGAATTCCCCTTCCAGACCAGGAGACAGCAATGCACCCATCACCGAGAGAGGATAATTTCCCACCACCGGCAGACACGGATTGTCATGGAACGAATGATGCAAATCACCATAATGTCCTTGATCTCTCCTTTGAAAAAGGAGTGCCCCAGTCCCTAGCTGGGCATTCAATTCATCCACTTGAACCATTTCAGCACATATCCTCTGTGCTGCAGTTGCTATTGCCGGCCAGATGGTACGATCGGTCAAACCGCTACGCATAACCCAATCAGTTGTTGGCGACTGAATCAGCATTCGTGGATCATACACCATGACCACCATTGCACCATCATCCATTGACTGATCAGCATCGTCCTCCAGTGCCAGGTTCAAATCCTGTTCACTTGCACCTTCGGATGACATGCTAATAACCAAATTTCGATCCATCTTATTGGACCCCTTCTGACAGTCCCTTTGCCCCACAGGCAACTTGCCGACAGCAACCTTCCAATAAATCCGACTCAGGAGGCCCTTGATAAGCAATTGCTGAGGGTCCCTCTTCACCGGACGAACATCCAATGTCTTCGCACCATCACCACGGAGTTCATTGCTCCCACCTTCTCCTTCTTTTTGACCAGTCTCCTCGCCAGAAATTTGCACTGCTCCTTCCAGCGCCGTCTCCTGTCCAGCCACTTCTTGCCCAGGAAGAACTTGAGCGCTTTCAGATACATTCACCTGTCCAGCAACACCTTGCCCAGGTAAAACCTCATCCGTGGAGCCCACCGCCAGCGAACCAACTATAACTGAGCCATCCCTTGCTCTTTTTTGAGACTGTTCAGTTCGACGAGAAGGTTGTGGTAGCGAAAAAACTTGAGAAGTCACTTCTTGGCGGGTCTCCCCCCGCGACGCTTTGTCGCGCCCTTCGCCAAGGTGAACCAATTTTTTCTGCCCATCATTGGGGCTTGAAGAACCATCCATCGGAACATTGCCACGAATCGCAGTTCTCTGTGAATCCCTTTCTCGCAAAAAGATTTCCCTCATGCGTCGCGCGGGTCTCTTCCTCGCTTGAATCGCCTGAGGAATCGGCATAAGAGACCAAAGCCTCTGCCTGATCATCATCATCCACCACATCTGCCCACGCTCTGCTGAACCGATACGACAACCCACCACGAGGCTTCAGTTCCAGTGGTTTTGGCTTTTCCACCACTTCCGCCGGCTGCACTCGCCGTTGTGAGCGAGAGCGTGGCACCTGTCGCACCTGTTTTTTATCCAGCAAAGGCCTTCCCCTTTTTACAGGGTTTGATCTTGACCGATACTTTTTTGTTGGCGGGTTCACCGGCGGCATTCCAACTCCCACCAACTGCAGCTTCTGTACGCACAGCGGAGACCTCTGCGCAAGCGTCCAAGCGTCCCGGTACTTGACCTTATCAAAAAGCTCCCGATAGGAGCCTCGCGGCATTGTTTTTGCACCGGAGCCTTCAGCTTCACGCACCTGAGCGAGGGTTCGCACCGCCTCTCTTCCAGCTTCCTTGCTCCCAGAAGATTGTTGTACCCGTACAGATGCATCGGAAGGAACTGCTTTTTCCGGTCCCTCCGGACGATATCGGACACCACCCACCAATTGCAGAATTTTGCATGCTGTCACTTTGTTGATCCCTTTGTCAACCAGATCCTCCACAAAGATGAACTCCTGCAGGTCCGACACATTGGTCACACCAAGTGTAATCATCACCTCACTCACATGAGGGGTATACACCCAAAGGTGTTCGTTGCGAGCCATCCAATTTTCAATTGGCTCCTCTGGATTTTGAAGCAGAGTACCAGTGGACTCAGCCACCGAATTTTTTTGTTCATCATCTTCTGCTTCATCCAGGGTACCTTTTTCACCTTGTTTTTGTGACACATTGGTCATTTGCAGCGCTTTTGGCGCCGAGGATGACGAAGATTCTGCTCCCCCACTTACCGGTGGTTGAAAGGCGTTCCTGTCGGGAATCTCCAATCCTCTTCCCCTATGAAATGACACATGGTTCGCCAAGTTCACCAGATGCTTCAATTGGGCCAGCCGGTCTTCAGACATTTCTTCGTGAGAGTACTTGCAGCCATATCGCACGCGACATCTCCCTCTGAGGTAGTAGTCGAAGCAGCAATGATGGAACCCCGCGTCCCTTAGTGCCTTCCTGGAAGCATTGTCCCAAGATTTGCCGGGTTCCCAAGTCCCTTCCAATGCTATGTCATCGTCGTGAAGATACCTGCATGTAGTCCCATATTTACAACCACCTTGATTGTAATACAGACACAGCCGACTTTTTGGCTCACCCAACGTAGGTTCACCCTTTGATGCACCTTTACCAAAGTTGTACTTGGCCCGGAAGGCTGAATCCTCCCGCTCCTGCTGTGCCTCATCCACTGTGCCTTCCTCTGTAGGAGGGTCACCAATGTTCCCATCCTCATCTCCAGCTTTTTGGCTGTTCTTTGGCTCAGTTGATCCTCCTCCTGGCCAACCTTCACCATAACGACGATGCTCATAGGAACACTCATCACCATTGCGACACCTTCCCTGATTGAAGAACTTGCACAGCTTGCTGTATCCAGGTGACACAGTCTTTGGAGTCATGTGAGCCTTTTTGTACTGGTCAGGATCCATGTAGGCTTCCATTGGCTTGCCCTTCCTTTTACTCATGGATTCCACTGCACCATCAAGCTCCTGCAAAAATCGCTTGGTGTCCAGCCAAAGCGCGTTCCAAAGCTCATCTTCCCCTTGACTCAGCACCGTTGCCACCGCTTCACCCACAACTGGTCGAGTAAATCTCCTTTTCCTACATGCCAGTTCGAAGAGCGCGTTGTGGTACTGTTTTCGGGAAAAGGTGGTTATCTTTCCCAAGCCTGTGCCTTCTGTACCATCGGGCTTCCAACCATCACTTTGCAAGATGCCATACGCGCGCCGAGCTTCCGCATTCAGGAATGCATGATCTGCAACACACTCCTGTAGCTCTTCCATTGGACGACCCAACAGCATCCCAGTGATTTTGCCCACATAGGCCTTATCAGCCTTTCCATCCTCAAGAAGAGCTTTATAGATCTTTTCTCCATAAAGCTGCCTTTCCTCTCGTTCTTCTGAGGATAACTCCTGATCAGCAAACCCTTCATCGGATTGCTCTTCCTCCCGTTTCCAGTCCCATTGACTGTTGGAATCTTGGCACCATTGACCAGCATACCATGAATCTGTCCACCACGTACTCCAGCCGCTGGCTTTCCATTTGCGCAGCGTCGAAGAAGAGTCCTCCTCGTCCTCTTCCAAAACCAGAAAGGTGTCCAAGATCACGGTACCATCATCTTCCACTCGTTTCACTGTTCCATTGACAGTATCACCAAATTTGAACTGATGTGCGTTGTTCCCTTCTGCAGGAACCAATACATTCACATCACCATGGTCCAAAAAAGCTCCATACCCATTGATGCAGCGCACTAGACCAACGATCTCATCTCCCTCTTGATAGCAATGTTCCCCAGGTGAATCCAAGGCTCCCGCTCGGGGCACTTTCTTTGCATGCTCTTCAGCAACCATCTCTGTATCATCGGCTCCTGGAACATCCTTTGTTTCCACCCTTGGGTCACACTGCTCGTCCTGCCCCTGCACGAGTCCCACAAGATCATCCATCTTGTGCTCCAGGGGCTCAGGACCTTCCTTTTTTCCAGCCAATGGCTTTGCCTCATCTGTTGCAGTTCGCTCGGTGTCGACTTCCGGCGAGCTTCCAGACGGCAATACTTCCCCCTTTATGGGAGCAGACCCATCATTGGAGTCCTTTGTCACGCCTTCTGCAGCAGGCAAATTTTCTTCCACTGCAGGGCTATTGAATTGCTCATCCACGGCAGGTACATTTTCTTCCACCGCAGGCTCCTTTGGCTCCATGGTTTCCAAAGGAGAATTGCCACCATCATTGACCACAGCTGCCTCATCGGCTCCGGTGTAGCCCTTGCCATTTCGTTCCTCGCGGCTAACTTCAGGTTGCACCAGTGCGTCCACCTGTGAACCTCCGTCATCAGCTGCTGCGGAGACCTGCGCCCCATTGTTGCAGTCGCCCGTGCAACGTGACACCATATGCACCTCAACCCGTGCTTCTTTCGCACTCCAGGTACTATCTGGCGCATTGACCCGCGCATCATTGGCGCTCCAGGCCTCATCTTTCAGATCTTCCGTGTCTCCAGCTATTCCAGAAGCTTCTTTTTCTCCTTGAATGGCAAGACTCTTGGCACCAAACGAAGAGACCTCCTCAGTCGTAACACACAACTTTTTCCCTCCGTCCTCCAAATCTCCAGGATCACCTTCCTGAACGACAGGTACCACATCCACCACTCTCTCTTCTGCAGCCGACACAGTTCCGATCTCCACATTGGGCATTTTTTCCTCTGGACCCACCGATTCCACCGCTGCCACACCCTCAGAAAGCGCTTCCATTTCTTCCCGATCCAGATGCTTTTCAACGATGTCTGCTCGGCTTCCAGAAATCCCTTCCTCATCAGGAGAACCCGAGGTCGGGGCGTCACCACCAGCCCTAAGACCGCTATCCCTGATAGTAGAGGAAAAATCCTTTTCACCTACACTCCACGCTACCCTGTTGTGCCCTGAAAGACTCAGTAGGCGACGAGGATGAAGTAGTACCCAGTGCTGGCTCTTCTTCCACAGGGACAATGCCCATTCCAACACTAGATCCTTCACTGTTTCCAGCCATCCCAGTCTTCTTCGGCAACACCCATTGGGTTTCTCCCGTGTCTAAGCAGTAAAGATATTCTCTCCCATCCTCGTGAAAATGGCGTTCCCATGTCTTCCCATCACAGTCGATGATTGGAAGGTCAGCAGCTTGAGACACTTTGCCTCCACCATCAGCGTATAAGTCTTCATCTGACTCTTGCTGTATTCTCGCTGCCTCCAATTCCAGGATTTCTCCTTCGCTCATCACCATAGCAACAGGAACGACTCCTTCTGCGTCCCCAACGACGAGGATACTGCTTTTTGTCGCAGCAACAGGCGCAGTTTCTTCCGCTTCACCTGTCAACAGATCACCACTTTCAGCCGCGAAACTCACTTTGTTGCGAGCTCGCTTGGAAACAGGGATAACATCCCCAACCAGTTCTGTCTGGCACCCTTGCTCCACCATCTTTGACGTAGAGGAGCTTGTTGTTGGCGCTCCCGTTGATTCAGCAGATTCCGCAGCTCGAAGAAGATGCCCATGTTTGCTCAGAAGGCGCAGCAAAACTGCTTCCATCTGGTCTTCCAGTCCTTCCACCACCGGCTTCTCTTCGCCACGCATACCACCAACATCAACCAGAGCTTCCACATTGGGAACAACTTTTTCACCCGTTGCAGACCTTTTGACACCACCTTCACCTTGGTCGCCCACATTGGAGCTCGATGATGCCGCACCAGTCCGTAACCAGTTGGTCGCCATGGCTTCAAACTTCCACCCTAAAGCCGAAACACAAACCGCAGGGAACCTAATTTGGGCTCATAACCTACGGGGGGCAACCGAAGGAGGACAGGGAACAAAACAGTCAACCCCAACAGAAGCCCTTGATCCCCTGGACCAACCAACAACAAACCAACCCAAAACACCAAGCACCCTTTGTTCTCGAGGCGCATGGCCCGATCTTGAGCCATAAAGATTACCGGGTACGTTGACCCTTCAACTTCCAACACCAACTCCTTTCTACAATACCAACTGCAGCTCCGCATAGGGTTTAGGGTTTAGGGTTTAGGGTTTAGGGTTGAGGGTCTAGGGCATGAGGAAAGCATGGGAAAGCTGCAGAGTCACAAGAAGCTCTACTCGACACACTGCCGCGGGGGCTGCCTGACGTCGTCCACCTCGCTTGTCTTGGGCAGTGCCGACTGCACCACGTGTTCGCACACGGTGCCTGGAAGCAGAATACCCTAAACCCTAAACCCTAAACCCTAAACCCTAAACCCTATGCATCCGGTTCGCAGATTGGGGCCCCCCGGAAGGGAGTCGCGGGGAGGGCAGCTCGAAATCCAAGAAGGCGGACCTTTTTCATAACCTACCCGAAACCCTAAACCCTGAACCCTAAACCCTAAACTTCTGGAACGTAAGTTTGGACTTTGTTTGGAACAACCCGCACGTAGCCTCAGAGCTCGGACCGCCCCAAGAAAGGCATCCAAACCCAGAAAAGAACAAACCCCCATAGGTTTAGGGGCTTAGGGCTTAAGGGCTTAGGGCTTAGGCTTCAGGCTTTGGGGTTGAGGGTCGGTTTTTTTTTAGGGTCTAGGGTTTCGGGTTTCGGGTTTCGGGTTTCGGGTTTCGGGTTTAGGGTTTAATCCCTTCCCCCTTTTATTAAATGGACCCCTAATACTAAAAACACTTTCCGGAAAATCCTGCCGAAACCAACCCCGCCTTTAAACCCTATTCCGAATTAGGGGGGGGTGGGTTCAGGCCTCCAAGAAACCCCTCAACACCAATAAAACCCTCAGAGGGTTACTTAAGTTGATTTCTTGAGTAACCCTGAAGTCTAATGAATTATGACATTTCGATAAGAATACCCCCTAATAATAAAAACACTTTTCGAATTTTTAAAGGGGGAGGCGGGGGGGGGGGGGGGGGGGGGGGGGGGGGGGCGTTTAATATTAGGGGGAAGGGATTAGGGTTTTAGGGTTTAGGGTTTAGGGTTTAGGGTTCAGGGTTCAGGGTTCAGGGTTTAGGGTTTAGGGTTTTAGGGTGGTTTGGGGTTTTAGGGGGTCTAATCCCAAACCCCAGGCCCCATCGGCTTGCAGCTGAGGTGCAGGCGATGAACTTCCCCGCCCGCTTGCCGGCGGAAACCCGCTCCGTGGTGCGCTCCCCGATGGAGTCGCTGGGCCAGTGCTCCTCCGGGTTTGTTTTCGGTCCAGCAACAGCGTCCTCAGCTTTCGTTTTGGGGTTTAGGGTTTAGGGTTTAGGGCTTAGGGTTAAGGGTTAAGGGTTAAGGGTTAAGGGTTAAGGGTTTAGGGTTTAGGGTTTAGGGTTTAGGGTTTAGGGTTTAGGGTTTAGGGTTTAGGGTTTAGGGTTTAGGGTTTAGGGTTTAGGGTTTAGGGTTTAGGGTTTAGGGTTTAGGGTTTAGGGTTTAGGGTTTAGGGTTTAGGGTTTAGGGTTTAGGGTTTAGGGTTTAGGGTTTAGGGTTTAGGGTTTAGGGTTTAGGGTTTAGACCTGCTTGCGGCATGCAGTCAATATTCAAATGCGTATGTAGGCCGACTTTGAAACAAGGACCCCACCAAACACTGGCACTGGAATCTTCAGAACTTGGCTTGCGCTCCCTGGACAGGTTTGCGATACTAGGGGGTACCTTATTGGGGTCCTTATTATAAGGGGATCCTACTCTTTGGGGTCTATATCAGGGTTCCCTTATTCTCGTAAACCCCCACGTGAGGCCCTAAGCAAGAAGAGCCTGCGCCCCAACCGAGCAGAAGCCCAAGATCAGGAAGGCTGCTCGCCACATGGCTCTGCGCGTGTTGCGCATGCACCTAGATCCTGCGTTTGTATGAGGTGCGTCTGTGGGTGTGTGTGTGTGTGTGTGGGGGGGGGGTGGAAGGGGCGGGGGGTTGGATAAGTGCTGTCGAATCTGCGCCCTGCCTTCGTAAAGTCCGCTTGCACTTGGTGTCTCTGCTAACTAGAAACTCCATCCACAGAGTAGTGGCCTGGATCGTGGTTTGATTGCTGCCTGGCATTGCCATCCTTCCAAAACGGCCCTGGGCCAAAAGCTGAGCGAAGAAAACTTGCATGGCCCATGATTCAAGACAGAAGAATTCTGGCTGCGGCAAGGGCCATGAGAACCGTGGGAACTGATTGCCACTAACACCCCCCAGACTTTTGGGAGGCTCCAAAAGGTGGAGCCACGGGTCATTGTTGATTAGGAACCCTTCAGAGGATCTACTTTGTGGGTCCTCCCAGGGGTCTGGGCCAGAAGATTGCGGAGCCCACCTCCATGGATTCACGCATGATCAACAGCTCAGCCTTCCGTATCCTCGAGTCGGGTTTAGGGTTTAGGGTTTAGGATTTAGGGTTTAGGGTTTAGGGTATAGAGTTTAGCGTTTAGGGATCGGGCAGAGACTTAGGGAAGGTCGAACAGCTCTTCCCCCCCCTCTTCCCTCTTCCGGTGAGCTTCTGAAACTGTGTCGATATGACGCTTAGCGCTGCTACAAAGATTCGAGCAGTATTGTGCTTTCATGCTCATGATGATCATCTGTATCAACCTTATATACCCTATAATAAACACTATAAAGCTCGTTTTCGGTCCCTTTCGTGTATGGGGGCTTCTACACCGGTGTATCGGTTTCAATGCTCTTCTGCTGATTCTCATTGCTACCTGTTCTGCAAAGCCTGATCCGCGTTAAGAAACTTCCCTGGCCTCGGCACAGGGGCCCGAAAGAAGTCTTCCCAAAAGAAGCTGGGGGGTTTCCGAAATCCGGGGGGGGGGGGGGGGGGGGTGGTACCTTTTTGGGGTCCTTGTTATAAGGGAATCCGATTGTTCCCTATTTTCGTAAACCCCCACAGGGTTTAGGGTTTATGGACCTCATCCCAGAACCTTGAATTCCGATGTGCTAAGTTGTTTGCAGCCTTGCAATGCACATGGTGCTAGCCAAACGACCATCAGCAACACCCCCAAAACCCCCAAACCGAAACCCCAAACTCTAAACCCTAAACCCTAAACCCTAAACCAAAACCCCCCAAACCGAAGCTGCCGGGCCTTTTCAAAAGGGAGCTCTGAAGCGGTAGCTTTGGCCGACGCTCGGGCACCGGCTGCATGGCCTGTATCCGAAACGATAGTTTCTTGGGTGCCCGGGCTTCAATGGGCTTGTAGGTTATAGGTTTTACGGGGTCTTATAGGGTGTTATCGGGTTTTACAGGGCTTTATAGGGTGTATAGGGTTTTACGGGGTATCCGAAACGGTAGTTGCTGGGGCGCCGGGGCTTCAATGGGTTTATAGGGTCTTATAGGGCTTTATAGGGTTGATAGGGTTTAGAGGGCTTGATAGGTTTTACAGGGTTTATAGGGTTGACAGGGCTTTATAGGGTTTCATGGGTTTTTTTGAGGATTTACGGGGTTCGTAGGGTTTATAGGGTTAATAGGGTTTGTAGGGTTGTTTTGGGGCTTAGGTTTTCTCAAGGGTTCTTCGAGTTTTCAATGGGCTTTGCCTTTCTGGTACGTACATGCATGTCACGGTTCCGGACCCTAAACCCTAAACCCTAAACCCTAAACCCTAAACCCTACACCCTAAACCCTAAACCCTAAACCCTAAACCCTAAACCCTTCTCCGGTCTGCCCTACATACAAGGGTCCGTAGTATCATACACCCTGAACGGAGTAAAATTTAGGGGAAGCCTCAGCCATTCTTAGGGTAGTTACATGGTTACTGGAAAAATGGTCCTTAAACGGGGACCCCTTACATATGCAACCCCAAAACCCCATACTTCAGAACCATTTAAGGGAGGTAAGGGACCATATTGAGGCATAAAAGCTACCATTAGAGCCATCATATTGTGAGGCCCCTAAGCCCTAAACCCTATACCCTATACCCTTGGAGTGAGGCCCCTAAGCCTGCAATGTCTGCGTCATCGGATTGGAGGCAGCCACTGCATCTCTGCTGGACGGTACCTCAAAGAGTGCAACACTTGGGTTGCGGGTTTAGGCGTTTGGGCGTTCGTTTGGGGGTTTACGGTTTACGGTTTACGGTTTAGGGTTTAGGGTTTAGGGTTTAGGGTTTAGGGTTTAGGGTTTAGGGTCTAGGGTCTAGGGTTCAGCATCTCAAGTCCAAGCATTCACTAGTCAAGCAGCTTGTCAAGTGTTGGAAAAAAAACCACCCACCCAAGAAACCCATAACATTGAGAAAATACAAAGTTCACTCAATACATTCCCAGTACCCAGAACCGTCGATTTCAGTACTAAAAAATCGCGGGTCCCAAATGAGGAGGCAAACTTTCCCGCTCAAGGGGGGGTCGGAGTTTGAGGCAAGGGGGGGGTCTCCGAAAACCATTTTGCCTTTAAAATTGAAAAATACGACACCCCCTTGACCAAAACTAGGCTGTGAAAAGGTCGCAGGGGCGGCCCTTCATCAGAATTGAGGGTTAAAAGCCCAGGAAAGTCACCGTTGCCCATTTTTGAGGCCAGGAAAGTCACCGTTGCCCACTTTTGAGGCCAGGCAAGTCACCGTTGCCCACTTTTGAGGCCAGGAAAGTCACCATTGCCCACTTTTGAGGCCAGGAAAATCACCGTTGCCCACTTTTGAGGCCAGGATAGGGTTTAGGTTTAAGGCTCAGGGTTTAGGGCTCAGGGTTTTGGGGGCTTGGGGGTTTAGGGGTTTAGGGGTTTGAGCTTTGGGGGCTGTGGGGGTTGGGAAGGCCTACAAGCTTTCTCATATCTCTGAGAGCCGTGCCACGAAGAAGGGGTCCGACCTCAGGCTTGCCAAAAAAGGGTTTAGGGTTTAGGGTTTCTGGTTTAGGGTTTAGGGTTTAGGGTTTAGGTGTAGGGTTTAGGGCTTCGGGTTTAGGATTTAGGCGGCTTCGGCACAGTCTCTGAACCCTCAATCACTGCCAATCAAATCCCCAAACCCTAAAACTCTAAACAACCCAAAACCCTAAAACCTTAACATCCCAAAACCCTAAGACCTTAAAACTCCTACAGTCCCTGAATTCCCTAAACCCAAAAAAATTGCAAAGGCCCCAAAAACCCCGAAAGGCACGTAAATTTTATGAGTTTTATGCAAAACCTTCTGCCTAACGCCCCAACACCCCAACACCCCGAAAACACCCTCAACTCCGGCCCAAATACCCTAAACCCTAAAAACCCTAATCCCCTAAAACCCCCAAACCCTAAACCCTAAACCCTAAACCCTAAACCTGGTAAACCGAGCGTCTTCGGGGAGAAGTTGAGCAGCTCCCCGAGGCTGCTCTCGGCAAGCCAGCGGGTGTCATCCTCGACGGGGCTCTCCCGCGTACAGAGGGTTAGGGTCTAGGGTTTAGGGTTTAGGGTTTAAGGTTTAGGGTTTGGGGTTTAGGGCTTAGGGTTTAGGGTTTAGGGTTAAGGCTTCAGGGTTTAGGGTTAATGGTGTAGGGCCGGTGTAGGGCCTAGGGCTTGGGGTTTAGGGGTTAGGGCTTAGGGTTTAGGGTTAGAGGCTAGAGGCTAGAGGCTACAGGTTAGAGGCTAGAGGCTAGAGGTGAGAGGTTAGAGGTTAGAGGTTATTGGAGGTTGGAGGTCAGAGGTGGGCTGCAGGCTGCAGGCTAAAGGCTCTGTAGGGCTTACAGGGCCTTTTGGGGCCACAGGGGAATAGAGGCTGGAACTCCTCATAATTTGGGGCCCTTTTTTGGGCACCATATTGACTTCCCTCGGGATCCCCAATAGCGACAGCAGCTTACCATGCATCCGTATCCAAACACCGCACCGTAGCGTATCATGCCAGTTTTCTTTGAACATGTGCAGAAGCTACGAACAAGCAGAATGGCTTTGATTCTAAACCCTAAACCCCAAACCCCAAACCCCAAACCCTAAACCCTAAACTCTAAACCGGGTTGAAGCTACCCATGTACATGTCCGCGAAGGCCTTCATCACCACCAGGTATTGCGGCTCAACGACCATGCCTCGCTGAGTCAAACTCCACAAATTTCTACCGCCTGACATATGGCCCAAAACCCTAAACCCTAAACCCCAAACCCTAACCCCGAAACCTTAAACCCTAAACCCTAAACTCTAAACCCCAGACCCTAAACCTTAAACCCCAAACCCACAAAACTAAACCCTAAACCCTAGACCCTAAACCCAAACCCGAAACCCAGCACAGGGCATGTGGAAGTAGCTCGGAAACAGAACCAGAATGGCTTAAGAGGCTGCGCAGCTCGCCCTGCATTGCATCCCTGCCCTGGCAGAAAGTTTGATCCTGCTTCATTAGCTTTGAATGGATAGGCAGGATGTGCAGTACACCTTGGGATGTCCCCCCTTATGCCAACAGTCCTTAATGGGGATTATCATACGCCCCCCCCCCCCACCTACAATCCCTATTAAGGACTCTTAGGAAAAAAAGGGGAAGTAGAGGTTATCATACCCCCTACTATAATCCCTCTTAAGGACTCTTAGGAAACAAAAAAGAAAGGAACATCCCCAAGTGCACCCTCACCGGCCCAGGGGCCCAGGCATGGCACGGTGCAGTCACACTTTGGTGAGTCGGGTGCCTTCGTTGGCGGGCCCTCACGTCTCCGGACTTTGGGAGACAACGACACCTGCTTTTCTTCTCTAAACTACCTGCTGGAGCTCTACGTCGGGCCCTCTCAGGGCATGTGTGCTGGCGCCCAAGCTTTGCGAGACTTCTCAAGGCTTCTGCCACATCAGTTGTAGTGTGGGTCGCTCATCTCCGAAGCCTCGAGGCATGCAACAGAGTCACGGAATTCGAACCGGAGGAGCCTGCGCCCATATGCGTACAGCACAACACGGCAACAGCACAGAGACGTGCCTTGCCCTCACCCATCTTGTTCAAAGCCGTCACCTGGCAGCTCTGTTGGGGCTTCCAGGCCTGGAGCATCTCTGAAAGAACCGTGCACGGTTGAATGCTCATGTTTCTTGGGACCTGCATGCACTGCAGGTCCATTTTGCGATTGATTGTCACCGCACTCGTTCTCCGGAGGAACTGGGTTCCTTTCTTTATCTTTCCTCCTTCTTTGCTTATGTCTCTCAGGCTCTCTCTCTCTCTCTCTCTCTCTCTCTCTCTCTCTGAGCCCCTGCCACACTGGCGGGGCATTGGCTGTAGACTTCGAATGCCTGCTGATGACCCTCACTAAATGCTTGAAGATCTTTCGTTATTCTGCTGGCAAGCCGTTGCGAGTACGATATTTGTCACGGGCCGAGCCCAAAGGGCTTGTGTCCAAGTCGAAATGTTGGCATCTCTTTCTTGCTGTCTTTCGTGCTTTCTTTTTTTGTTCTTTATATTGTTGTTTCTTTCTTCCTGTCTTTCTTTCTTCCTTTCATTGCTTCCTTCCTTCCTGCCCCTTTCTTTGCTTGCTTCAAGGGGAAGATCCCCACCCGCGCGCAGAGCGCGCCCGTGTCTGTCCCTCTTGCCCGCTGATCCGAAGAGCCTATCCGTACAAGAAGAATCTCTCTGAGTTACCCGTTGAAGCTACTTATACATCCATCAGCCTTAAAGGCTCACTGAACAAACCCTAAACCCTAGACCCCAAACCCGAAGCTCTACAGCCTAAACCCTAAACCCTAAACCCTTACCCCTAAACTCTAAACCCTAACGGGGGCCTGGAACCGGTACTCACAGGCGCCGAGCTCTAAAGGGCCCACCCAGGCGTTGTACATGGAGGCATCCTCCTGACCTCTCAGCATGCGACTGGGGCCAGAATGCACTTCTTCCGCGCATGGATTCCGAGCAAACATAAGGATCCTACCATTGGGGTATAACAAGGGGGACTCTGGAAAACCATGTTTGTAGAATCCCTGTGGTTATGTGGTTTTTTGTGGCCCCGAGTCTCTGCCAAATTCTCGTCGAAGATGAAATGCTGCGTTCATGAGTGCCACCCTCATCTGGCAGGAACAGGAAACACAGCTGTGTCGATGTAAGCCACACTATCCGGAAGTGGGAGCTTTGCCTGATCTTGCAAATTGCAAACTCCTCATGGTAAGAGGGCTGAGGTCGACGTACAACACCAAGATACGGCACCAAGAAACCAAATCCAAGAACCCTAAACCCTAAAGCCCTCAACCCTAAACCCTGAAGCCCCAAACCCTAAACCCTAAACCCTAAACCCGTAACCCCCCGAGAGAAAGTAGATCGGACTGGCGACCTGTTGCAGCCCCCACCGAGCCCATCCTTGCCAGGTCACTTCAGGAGATTCTGGCTTTCGACGTGCGCTGAATAAAGTTCTGAGGACGACTACACCTGATCATTTCATCTAGGACCAGGGTGGAGCAGGGACTTGCGGCCCAGAGAGCTCGAGACCAGAGCTCCCGCTGCTTCAGGGCTCATTTGAAAAGTTGCTCCTATTTTCTCCCCCGCATCTCATCGCGACGCCCTACAAGAACCCAAGAACGCGAACCTGCCATTCCTGCTCATGTCTCAGAGACCTCCTCTCCCCCCCCCCTCCATTTTCATGGAGCCAGGTCTCTCCACCCAGCTTGCAGCCGCTTCTCCCGGCCCAAATGGGTTCCTCAGGCTTCTTTGGTCAACTACTGACTGGATGGCACTGGGTTTAGGGTTTAGGCTTTAGGCTTTAGGGTTTAGGGTTGAGGGTTTGAACTCAAAGCTCCATGGGGGGCATTTACACCAATGCTGAGAGGGCTCCAGCGAGAAGCTCCCAGGATCTTGCGCATGCGGATCCTCTCAGAGCGCGAGCGCTTCGCACAGCGCTTCCGGCCCAAAGGTGACCCTGAACCCTAAACCCAAACCCCTAAACCCCCTAAACCCCCTAAAACCCGTAAACCCCCTAAACCCCCTAAACCCCCTGAATACTAAACCCTGAACCCTAAACCCCCCTAACCCTAAACCCTAAACCCCCAAACCCCTAAGCCCTGAACCCTAAACCCCAAACTGCCCCCAAAGTTCCAGTCCAAACCCTGTAAGCCCCTAACCCTAAACCCTAAACCCCAAACCCTAAACCCTAAACCCTGCACCCTAAACCCTAAACCCTAAACCCTTTACTAAAAATCCTAAAACCCTAAAACCCTAAAACCCTAAAACCCTAAAACCCCAAAACCCCAAAACCCTAAAACCCGGCGGGGTCCTGTAAGCCGTGATGGGCATCCTTGGGTTCCCGGCTTTCGCTCTGACACATGCCTATGGCATCCTCTTATTTACAGTCGAGAGGGGGGGGATGATGTAGGGTTTAGGGTTTAGGGTTTGGGGTTTAGGGTTTGGGGTTTGGGGTTTGGGGTTTGGGGTTTGGGGTTTGGGGTTTGGGGTTTGGGGTTTGGGGTTTGGGGTTTGGGGTTTGGGGTTTGGGGTTTGGGGTTTGGGGTTTGGGCTTTGGGCTTTCGGCTTTCGGCTTTAGGCTTTAGGCTTTAGGCTTTAGGCTTTAGGCTTTAGGCTTTAGGCTTTAGGCTTTAGGCTTTAGGCTTTAGGATGGGAGCAGGATGATCAAGCGACTTAGGATTCCCAAATCCTCTTCCCCCAAGCCTGCCCATCATTTCCGAAATCCCAACCTTTCGGATGCGCGGGCTCTTCTCGGCAGCTCCGCCCCTAGCCTTAAACCCCAAACCCCAAAACCCCAAACCCCAAACCCTAAACCCTAAACCCCAAACCCTAACCCGAAACCCTAAACCCTGACCCCTAAACCCTAAACCCCCAAAGCTTCCTCATGATGCCACGCCCAGCGTCCCGCCATCCCCGGGAGGAGGCGTCCAGGCAACGTTGAGGCAGCCATCACGCGCCTCCACGAGATGGTGGTTTAGGGTTTAGGGTTTAGGGTTGAGGGTTGAGGGTTTAGGGTTTAGGGTTTAGGGTTTAGGGTTTAGGGTTTAGGGCTTAGGGTGTTTAGGGCTTCACCACCCTCAACCCTGACCCTAAACCCTGAGCCCTAAACCCCTTGCTCGAGCGCTGGGCTTCAGAAATGATTCCCCGGATGCAAGATTTTATAGGAGCCCCTCTGATTCTGTTCAGCTCTGCCTGGGGAATCCTCAGTTTACGGTTGAGGCCCATTCTGCCCACTTCCGCGCATCTCCAGGTCAGGCGGTGCTGGAGTGGCGTGCTCCGGCTTTCCAAGGGCAAGCTTGCTTTGGGTGGGGGGGGGGGGGCTTTTGGGTGGGTTCGGGTGCCATGTCCTGTTGCCTCTGTACCATGCCTGGTAAGGTTGGTCGGTTTCACGGCTGTGGTCGGTTGCACTCACGATGCGTCCGTGCTTGGGGCGTAGCACGGGGAGATTGCTTCCTAAGCCCGCAAAATCGGAAAGCAAAAAAAGCAAGAAAGAAAGTTGGGGTGGCCTTGCAGCGGTAGACACATAGTAGACAAGGAAGAAGAAGAAGAAGATGAAGATGAAGACACACACACACACACACTCACTTCACTCACACACTCACTCACTCACCCACCCACCCACTCACTCACACACTCACTCACACAGCACTGAATCTGCCACGCGGCTCTACTTTCTTCTACCCAGCGAAGAGGACACCCAGGTCTCGCTCTCTCTCTCTCTCTCTGCTTCTTCTTCTGCCCAGCTTCTCTCTCTCTCTCTCCCTCCCTCTCTGCCTCTTGCACACTCGCTCACACGAAAGAAGCGCTCCTCCTCGATCCAGGGCTTGCTTGGTGGGTCGGGAGGAACCGGAGCTGTGACAATCCTAGGCGCTGAGTTGTGGCCCCATCAGCGCCCCTGCACGAGTCCACTGAGCAACGCCTACCACAATTGCGGCCCCATGCAAGCCGAGGTGCTCAAACTCCCCGGCGTCTCCTGCGCCCACCTTGTTCACAGCCCGCACGTCTAGCAAATAGGCGGTGTTGCCTTTGAGGTTGGCAACGACGTACCTGAGATGCCAAAGACTAAACCAAACTTGCTCAAAATCCTCGAAGTAGTACACTTGGTACACATTGCATTCGCCTGCCACTGGTGAGTTGGCCAGGTCACACAGGGTTGAGCGACTTCGTGCACTCACAGAGCGTGTACCACTCTGGCAGTTCGTTGGGCTGTGGGTCCAGCAGTATCGAGATCTTGTATCCGATGATTGGCGCTCCATGGTCGTTCCTATGCTGGTTAGCCCCACCCAAAAACAGGGATACAGCGGTGCTTACTTCAGAAGCAGGAAGCCCTTGCCTACAGAATCACGACTTCAGAAAGAAAGCGATTCCCAAACGACAAGGCAAGTCTTGGGGGGAGACCACTTGACTGTCACCTCGGTCTGTTTCACATCCGCCATCGCCAGATCGGTCACTCCGGCGGGAGTCGTGCAGACGTGGTACCTCGGGTCGAAAGAGCCTGGGCGCCCTTCACAAAGCCTTTGAGAGAGAATTCGCCCTCAAGCCAAGTCCGGCGATATCCCTATGAACCAGCGGAACTTGGTGATGCATCTACAGGTATCTAAACCCTCAAGCCTAAACCCTAAACCCTAAACCGTATCAAGGTTGACCCAAGGTGCTTTAGTCTCATCTCGGCCACACGATGGCCTGGCCCGTCAAAGGTTAGCAGCGAGATTTTTCTCGACCCCCCAACACACCCAAGCTGAAGGCCAAAGAAGATACCACAGAAAGCCCTGCGAGACAGTTTGAATAACATGAGTATGTGCCCGCGCGTCCTTGAAGGATGTCAAAGATGCCCCACGTTGTGGATCTTCTTTGCAATTGGTACTCCTGCTTAAGGTTTGGGATTAATTGGGCTTAGGCTTGTCCGATCACATTGAACCCTCAATGGTCCTTAACCTTCATCCAAGCTCTCCAAAGCACCAGGAACCCTAAACCCTAAACCCAAACCCCAAACCCCAAACCCTCAACCCCAAACCCAAAACCCCAAACCCTAAACCCCAAACCCTAACTAAACCCCAAACCCTAAACCCTAAGCCCCAAACCCTAAACCCGAAGCCATCTGTCCTGCAGGGGTGCCAGGGCTCGCCTTAGCAAGCTCGAGGGCGAAGATTCACCAAGCTCCAGCGTGTTTGGATCACACGATCCGGTGTACTGTATGAATACAGTATGCATATATATATATATATATATATATATATATACATATCGTATGTACATGTACATGTATATATGACATGTCATATAGAATGTAGCTTTCATTTATTTATCTATCGTTTATTTATCTCTATTTCTATTTCTATTTCTATTTATACTTCTACTTGTACTTATATTTCTTTTCATATTTATGTTTACAATTTTATTTTTATTTATATTTATATTTATATTTATAGTTATATTTATATGTATTATCTATATTTATAGTTATACTTCTACTTATATGTATATTTATATTTTTATTGATATTTATGATTATGTTCATATGTTTACTTATTTATGTATATACCGCAAAAATATGTGATACTGTGGATGGAGGAAATGATGCATCACCTGTGAACATATTTCTAAACCCGATGGCCAAGATTCCCAAGGAGAGTGGTGACGGGACTGCCCAGAAGAGCGCTCTTTGTGGCCCACACCTTATCATTTTGTCTTCGGGCCGAGCAGCCAGAGACGGATGCAAGAGACTGTGGAGCTGGCTGCTAAGAAAGAGAGAGAGAGAGAGAGAGAGAGAGAGAGAGAGAGAGAGAGAGAGAGAGAGAGGGGGGCGGGAGCAAGAGCAGGGGGCAAGAGAGCAAGAGAGAGCAGAGAGAGGCGGAAAACCACCGAAAGACGCTGCTTCGGAAAATGTATTTCGGGAAGTGTAGACTCTTGTCATGCAAACGGGAAGAATACCTGATTCAGGATGAGTACGGGCAGGATAGCAGAGGGAAGGGCAGGATGGTCTTCGGAAAGCTATGGCGACTTCTTTTGAGTCGGGATCCTTTCCGAACCTGTCGCAAAGAAACTACTTCCAAGTGTTAAGGACGCTAGCTTTGGGCATACACCTTCAGGCCCGGCGGCTGCGCCGCTCCTCTGCCCTAAGTGGAGGCCCGAGGACGACACTCTGGGATTCCTGCATTTAGGGCTTAGGGCTTAGGGTTTAAGATTCAGGGTTTAGGGTTTAGGGTTTAGGGTTTAGGGGGTTCCAAGCGCCACCCCTCCCATGGTGCCCTGACCCCGCAAGCAGGGCGCGTAAGCCACCAGATGATGATCCAGCTTCTCCATACGCAGAGAGAACATCTCCTGAACGATGAATCGCCCGCTCTCAAAAAAAATCTCTTCTTCGCAGTCCAAGTTTCTAGTGTGCCAGAGTCCGAAGACTTCCGTCCTCGAAGGTGACTACAGCATTCTGGTTGGGTCTTTCGTCGTCGCTGCCAGCAAAGATTCCGACCTTCAACGTAGCAGTGGTGTGCTCAGAATGATAACTCAATCAAGACGATTTCTAAGCAACTGCTCTTCAATGGGTGGCCAATCAAAACTCAAAGGTGAAAGGGGCTAGTGCATGCCATGGCTTACACTTTCCGGGGAGACGGCATTGACTCGCAAAAAGAAAGGTAATTGTGGAGGGCTGCTCAGGAAAAATGACTGTCATGTTGTGGACGACCTTTTGACTTTGGACCAAGAAAGTATATTGCGTCCGAAATATGATGAAAGACCAAAGTTGAAGCATATATGAATATGTGAAGTCAACAACTGTGAGGACGAAATTAACTGATTGAGGTTTATGCCTGTCGTGCCTGCAGACCGGGCTTCACGGGCTTCTGCGCCTCAAGAAAGCAGTGGCAGGAACCCAGCATAGTCCAGCTACAATCCAAGCAACACGCGAAACAAGACCTTGCATTCACAGACGGTTCAAGAAGGATTGCTACAATCTTCGGATGACAGATCAGCTGTCCTTTGGATGGGTGCGGGGTACCTACTTTACAGTGTTGATACAGAAAGCCCGGGATATCTGCGCGCAGCGCTTGTGACGAACAAAACACACATGAATTACCATCCAGCCATCCATGTCACCTGCTGTGGCAGTGCACGCTTTCAGCAAGAAGACCTAACCAAGAACATCTCCGCACTACCCTGAGGCAGGAAACCTGCGAAACGATGTAGTGACCATCCACGGTCTGCAACGGCGCGTCACGCGGCAGCGGAATGTGGTCAGGCTCCTCACTGCGTTGCTGTATCCAGCTTTGTGCAGAACTTGGGGCTCTTGGTTCACAGCATTGCTTGACCTGTTTAGGGCTTGGGGTTTAGGGTTTAAACCCTAAACCCTCAACCCGGAACCACTCCAGCTTCAAGCAGAAAACCCAGAAAAAATCAGTGTGCCTCGGACCGCGGATGCAGCGAGACGAAGTACTTCAGCGACTCGAACATCCCTCACCGGGGTCGCTGACTTTGGCACGCGTCTGAATCCACCGTAATCTCAAGTCCCTTCCCTAAACCCTAAACCCTCAATCCTCAACCCTCAACCCTAAACCCTAAACCCAAACCTTAAACCCTAAACCCTAAACCCTAAACCCTACTCGTGATTAGTCAGCCCCTGCGCGGTCCGCAAAGTGCAAGGTTTACAGGGCTGAAGCTGTCTTACAGGGCTGAAGCTGTCAGAGGGAACTGAGCCGAACTTCTAAACCTTAAACCCTAAACCCTAAACCCTAACCCCAAACCCTAAACCCAACCCCCCCCCCCCTCCCAAAAAAGGAACTTTACATATGACAAACTTAAACCCCCAGCCTAAACCGCCAAATTGGTAATATATGGCTCGGAATAACTACTAGCAGTATTCCCTTATGGTCCCTATTTAGATATACTATACTATAGTAATTTGAAACGTAACCCCTAACCCCGAACCCCTAACCCCCAACCCCTAAACCCTAAACCCTAAACCCTAAACCCTAAACCCTAAACCCTAAACCCTAAACCTAAACCCAAGCGCCTGGCTGCAGGTCCGGCGCATCCGGGTGCAGCTCAAGCTCCTGCAGCTCCACTTCGAGGAGGTGCTGGCGCTCCTGCGAGGTCTTTCGGGGTTCGGATATTGGGAAATTCCCCCCCTGTACCAATCGTCATTCATAAGGCTTGTAATGGGGGGTGCTGCAGGTAATCCCTATTAAGGAGTGTCAGGTATTTCCGGTAGTCCCCGAAGTAGGATTTTTTGAAAACCCCCTTTTAGGGGTTTATGGAGCTTGCGGGGCCCGTTCGGGGTAGAGGGTCTAAGATTTGCAGGTTGGGGGCTGAGGGTTAAAAGCTTAGGGCCGGGTTCGGGAGGTTTTGGGGAAGCTAGCCTTAGGCCCCCAAGCGCCCCTAAACCCTAAACCCTAAACCCTAAACCCTAAACCCTAAACCCTAAACCCTAAACCCTAAACCCAAGCGCCCCGAAGAGGCACCTGGAGTCCCTGCGCGTGGAGCCCAGACCAGCACCCAAGCGCAAACAGGCACCGAAAAGCCAAAAAAACAAAACAAATAAAAACAATAAGGAATACATTAGAAATAATGATCATAGTAACAATAATAACAATAATAATGATAAGAATACTAAATATATATTTAAAAAAATAGAAATAAATTACGGAGCGGCCACGAGCCCCATGAAATAATACCCCCGGAATGCCAGGACATTGCCCAGAAGGCCTCCTACCCTCCCAGACCTTGGAAGAGATTGACTGAATTGAGCAAACCTTCGGCTCACGCACAAAGGCGTAGCGTGTAAAAGTCTAGGGTTTGCACTTCCTTTGAATTGGAGATTGGAGAGTTTGCATCCCGAGCCACTACAGGGAGGACTCAGCTCAGGGGATACTGCCACAGAAGGGTCACCGTCCCCCCAAATTGGTAACATATGGCTCGGAATAATCCGCCGAATCCTCGGGCCGAAGGTGTATAGGTTGTGAGAACAGGCACCCCTCCCTTTTTCGGACCATGCCGCCCCCCCACCCCCCCCCCCCCCCCCCCCCCCCCCCCCCCCCCCCCCCCCCCCCCCCGACCCCCCCCCCCCTTCCCAAACCCACTAAAAGACCCATGTGACCCTGTGCAGCTGCGGATGCCGCGACTATGTTGAGGCGGGTCGCGTAGCGTTAAAATTACTAGTAGCATTCCCTTATGGTCCCTATACAACCCTAAACCCTAAACCCTAAAACCCCCAAGCCCTATCAGGATGGGCCTCAATAGCATGCCAGGCCGGTGGCTTCTGCTGGTTTTGCGGAGGGCGCCGCGACACGCCATCACCCATGTCCTGGAGAACCCTAAACCCTAAACCCGAAACCCTAAACCCTAAACAGCTGACTTGGGCTTGCTGGGCTGACACCCTGACCCTGGCCTAAAGCGCCCCTCATGTTCCCTACGCCACAGGTGCATCGGTGCTGTCCTCGATTCTGTGGGGGATCAGAAGGTGATCGTCCTCCCCATCTTGGGGAACCTCAACCATTGTTGGGGTACTATTTTAAAATAATCATTTCTGTTCCTTATTAGGATTTAGCGTCGATAAACATGAAAAAATGAAAATTGGTCTTCAACAATGACCCAGGAACGGAGTTCGGCATCACCGGCATAGACTGCGGCATCATCGACTGTGGCATCACGGGCATGGATCGGGGCGCGGGCATGATCGACTGAGTGGCGGGTCCTCGGGAAGTCGATTTTTCCGAGCCGATCGGAGAAGCACTCTGCCCCAAACGCCCAAGCCCGAAGTTTAACCCTAAGCCCCCTGACAAGGTCCCATCCTCCTCAGCCCCACCTTGCAGCGCCGCATAAGGCACATCCCTCCCTCCGTCTCTACTGCTCTCCAAGAGTCGCATCGAGCCTGGCAACTGCCGTGGCAAAGTTGGCACCTCCCAAGGTGCAACACCAGCCCCCTACACCCCTAATCCCTCAACATCCCTAATCGCTAAAGGCCCTAACCCTAAACCCTCAACCCTAGACCCTAAACCCTAACTCCTAAACCCTAAACCCTAAACCCTAAATCCTAAACCCTAAACCCTAAACCCTAGACCCTCCTAAAAACACCTTTGAGCCCCTAAGCCCAAGGCACGGAGCTGGGAAGTGCCACTGGGCTCAAGCGGCTCGGAGCGCAGGGCAGCGGATCCTGGGGCTTCGGGTTGAGGGTTTGTAGGGTTTAGGGTTTGTAGGGTTTAGGGTTTAGGGGTTTAGGGGGTTTAGGGTTTAGGGTTTAGGGTTTAGGGTTTAGGGTTTAGGGTTTAGGGTTTAGGGTTTAGGGTTTAGGGTTTAGGGTTTAGGATTTAGGATTTAGGGTTTAGGGTTTAGGGTTTAGGGTTTAGGGTTTAGGGTTTAGGGTTTAGGGCTCACAGAAGCCCCAAGCATCCCGGATGCTTCAAGTTCCGGAGCCCTCGAACTGCGCTCTGAGGCGCGGCGAAGCGGGGAGACGGTGAACGCGGCCGGCCTGAATGGGGTCACAGATCAGACCTTCCGCGATCCTTATAGGGTTTAGGGTTTAGGGTTTAGGGTTTAGGGCTTAGGGTTTAGGGTTTAGGGTTTAGGGTTTTGGGTTTAGGAGGATCCGATGGATCCCTCTGATCATCCCAGTGGCTTGGCTCAGGGTTTACGGTGGAACAAGGGGCTAACACTCTCCGCCACATGTGGATCATCATGGTGGTGCCTTGGTTTATCGAGCAGAAAGACAGGTGCGATGGGCAGATCCTAGTTAGGGAGGTTGCGCTGCGCTCGGCTTGCACCTTCCCTCGCTTCGCTCTTCGCTCTGCAGCCTGCCTTCTGACACCACGACGCTAGGACCGCGAGAAAGAACCTGGTCTCGACGAGTGCACAGGGCCCCCTTGGCAATCAAAGCTCTGTTCTAGCCTGAAGCCCGTGCTCATTGTGGTCCTAGTTCCCAAGACTCTGCATCTGCGGCTCAGTGCCGCCCACTGCCTGTGCCAGTTTAGGCCTGGTAGCTGGCCGCGTTGATGGGACCGACCTTCAAGAACATGATGCACCCGGTCACTAATGCAGACGGATAGACGAGTGATAGAAATGCACTTGGACCGGCTGGAGCAGAAACTACCTTCAGGTCTCTTTTCCACAGCAGGACGACATCCACTGCGAAAGCTAATTGCACAGCGGGAACCCTGCTGGCAAAAGTTTAAACATGGCGGCACGAGGGGGGAGACCCCGCCGCCCCTTACCAGCCAGAAGCCCGGATCAGTAGTACTCACCGTTGACGGACTGTGGCCGTGGTGCTACTCTGCAGCACACATCACGGGCAGCCTGCGCTTGAAGGATGGCAGCTGTCTGTCATGGTCATGGGATCGTGGCAAACAATTTCATCAATGCCACAAGTGACAGGGCACGTGTAGGAGGAGCACCAATTGTAGCCATCACAGAACTCGCATGTTGGCGGGCTGTGACACACGTGTTCACCTGCCAGGCACGTGACCGGGCAGCCAGTGCTCTTCGGATGGCAACTGTCCGTCATGGTTGTGGAATCGTGGCAGATCAGTTCGTCCACTGCACAGTACACTGGGCAAGTGTAGGACGAGCACCAGTTGGAGCCAGAGCAGCCAGGACATGACGCTGGGGTGTGACACACGTGCTCACCTGCAGGGCATGTCACTGGGCAGCCAGCGCTCATCGGGTGACAGCTGTCGGTCATCGTGGCATAATCATGGCATACAAGCTCATCTGGGCCACAATAAACTGGGCAACTCGGGGAACAGAAGCTGTAGCCATCGTTGCAAGTGGGACACGATGGTGGCGAGTGGCACACCTGGTCACCTGCTGGACACGTGATGGGGCAGCCTGTGCTTGCGGGGTGGCAGCTGTCCGTCATGGTTGCGGAATCGTGGCACACCACTTCGTCCGCTGCACAGTACACAGGGCAAGTGTGGGAGGAGCACCAGTTGGAGCCAGAGCAGCCGTCGCATGGCGCCGGCATATGACACACGTGCTCACCTGCAGGGCATGTGACTGGGCAGCCAGCGCTCATCGGGTGACAGCTGTCGGTCATCGTGGTGGCATCATGGCACATGAGCTCATGTGGAGCACAATAAACTGGGCAACTCGGGGAACAGAAGCTGTGCCCATCGTTGCAAGTGGGACACGATGGTGGCATGTGGCACACCTGGTCACCTGCAAGGCACGTGATAGGGCAGCCTGTGCTTGCGGGGTGGCAACTGTCCGTCATGGTTGCGGAATCGTGGCACACCACTTCGTCCGCTGCACAGTACACAGGGCAAGTGGGGGTGGAGGAACAGAAGCTGGAGCCATCATGGCAAGTGGGGCACGATGGTGGCGTGTGGCACACCTGGTCACCAGGCGCGCACGTGATTGGGCAGCCTGTGCTTGCGGGGTGGCAGCTGTCCGTCATGGTTGCGGAATCGTGGCACACCACTTCGTCCACTGCACAGTACACGGGGCAGGTGCCGGGGGAGCACCAGTTGGACCCAGAGCAGATGTCGCATGACGGCGGGGTGTGACACGTGTGCTCACCTGCAGGGCATGTCACTGGGCAGCCAGCGCTCATCGGGTGACAGCTGTCGGTCATCGTGGCTGGATCATGGCACATGAGCTCATTTGGGGCACAGTACACTGGGCAACTCGGGGAGCAGAAGCTGTGCCCATCTGGCGCGAGGCACATCTGGTCGCCTGCTGGACACGTGATGGGGCAGCCTGTGCTTGCGGGGTGGCAGCTGTCCGTCATGGTGGCGGAATCGTGGCACACCACTTCGTCCACTGCACAGTACACGGGGCAGGTGCTGGGGGAGCACCAGTTGGAGCCAGAGCAGCCAGGACATGACGCTGGGGTGTGACACATGTGCTCACCTGCAGGGCACGTCACTGGGCAGCCAGCGCTCATCGGGTGACAGCTGTCGGTCATCGTGGCATAATCATGGCATACAAGCTCATCTGCGGCACAATAGACTGGGCAACTCGGGGAGCAGAAGCTGTGGCCATCATGACAAGTGGGACACGATGGTGGCATGTGGCACACCTGGTCACCTGGTGGGCACGTGAGTGGGCAGCCTGTGCTAGCCGGATGGCAGCTGTCCGTCATAGTTGCGGAATCATGACACACCACTTCGTCCGCTGCGCAGTACACGGGGCAAGAGTGGGAGGAGCACCAGTTGTAGGCAGAGCAGCCAGGACATGACGCTGGGCTGTGACACACGTGCTCACCTGCAGGGCATGTCACTGGGCAGCCAGCGCTCATCGGGTGACAGCTGTCGGTCATCGTGGCGGGATCATGGCACATCATCTCATCCGAAGTGCACGTAATGAACTTCGATGCCCCATCCTTCTGCATCTTCGTCTGCAGAGCACATGATCCCTTGCTCTCCTGGATAGTGCTGGCAGAGCCTGCCAAAGCAGCAGCTACGGTAGCTAAAGACACAAGCATGGACAGCGCCATTGCTGACGAAGGCCAGGTGTCAATATGGGCAAAGTGAAGCTCGAGAGCGATTGAGAACGGCTGCAAGAGACCAAAGACATGACCGGCAAACAAAAAAACAAGCGTGTTGTCAGAGTCACGACATGAACGTCTCAGAGCTTTCTCCAGAATCGTAAGCTTAGGCAGGGCACAAATTGGACGGCAGAGCGGGCACGAAGCCACCGGGCCTGGGTTCAGGGCTTGTGAAACTGTCTTCAGAACCGATTCTCGCCGCACCTTTTACGCATAACCGATGTCAACATGCTGCCCGCAGACTCTTGCAACGTTGAGGTACAGTAGTGCTGCTGTCCTGCAATTACTGTTGCTCGTGATTTTACTCACAAAAGTGACAGCCATGCCGAGCGTCGTTGTTGGAGTCACATCACCGTGGCGTGGGGGGTCCTGCTGGCGCCAGGCTCAACCCTAAACCCCAAACCCTAAACCCTAAACCCTGAACCCTAAACCCTAAACCCTAAACCCTAAACCCTAAACCCTCCAGACTACGACCAGTGTTGAGATTTGGGGTGGCACATCCACTTTCGATAGTCGTGCTTTGGGGTGATGACGAGAGACGTCGAAGTGAAGAGCTCATGCCACAGAGGGCAGGGGACATGGGTCTTAGCAGGGAAGAAGGTGCCCTAAATAATCCCTTCAAGGGTAATATATAGGGCACTATATAGAATCCCTTAAAGGGTCTATATACATATATATATATATATACATATGCATATATATATATATATGTAATAAAATATATACATATATATAGGGTATGTATATATATACATATAAATATGTATAAGGCGGCACTGTCCTCCAAGAAGGCGGTGGCACGGAACAGTGCATCCACCATGCAAACACACTCCTGAGCTTCCATGGCCAAGTCCGACTACAGGTTCGGGACCAAGGCTGACTAGCAAACACCCTTTTGTCAACAGGGTTTAGGGTTTAGGGTTTGGGGTTTAGGGTTTGGGGTTTAGGGTTCAGGGTTTAGGGGGATCAACTCACACAGAAGCGCCTACCTGCAAAGCCGGGATGCACGAGCGTCCAGCACGCTATTTCTGTCCTGGCACAGGTCTGCCACCACCAACGTGCTGACTGCTAGGGCCTGCTAGGGCCTAACTAGGGCTCACAGACTGCGGTGGGAAAGCGGCCACCATCATCAAATCGCCATCGTCATCACCATCCTTATCATCGTCATCCTCATCATCCTCACCACCATGACCGCAATCGTCACCATACTCATCAGCACAAGCATTACAGGAACCTGCAGGCAGGCTACTGCTGGCGCAAGAACTGCAACTACGTGCACTTGTGGGATAGAGGGCCGCACGCTGCCAGAGCTAACCCGCAAACCCTAAAACATGGCCTCATCAAATCGGAGGAAGAGCTGGTACATGTCCGTCGGGCTGGGTGGCGGTAGGCCATGCTGCTGGAAAACCAAGGAGATGAAGTCCTGTGGCACTCGCCAAGTGGAGACTTAGGGCTTCAGGTTTAGGGTTTAGGGTTTAGGGTTTAGGGCTTAGGGCTTAGGGTTTAGGGTTTAGGGTTTAGGGTTTAGGGTTTAGGGTTTAGGGTTTAGGGTTTAGGGTTTAGGGTTTAGGGGGCCAGGGTGCTCAACCCAAAGAGTGAGCCGACACAGTGCGATGGATGCGCAATCTGTCCTGGATCTCCCCGTTGGCCCACTGAAGATTACCCGATGCGTTTCTGTCACAGACACGGTAGATCTCCAACGTGTTCCTGAGTCAAGAGATATACTGGAGGGTGTTTTAAGGTTTCATGACCCGTTTCATCTAGAATATCGTTCAGATAGGAGGATTATCAACACAAACCCAATGCTCAACCACAGAGCAGGGCGGGACAGATTGTCTGCTGTGACGACATTGGTCATCCAAGGCACCTCAACACATCACCTGAGCTGTGACATGGGCACGGATAGGCACGGGCCGTTCTCAAAGAACGCGACATGCTGACATCCTTGCAGCAGCACAGGCCCTTGGAATCTTGACGTCGGCAAACTCTCAACCCGAAACCTGGCAAAGGCCAAAGGTACTCACAGCGCCTCCAGCTGAATCCCAAAAGCACAAAGCCAAACCTTCAACTAAAGCCTAAACAACCCTGAATCTCCAACCCTGAACATGCCCCGCCCGAAATCGTGAACCCGAACACCCAAGCAGCCCAGTGCCCTTCCAGGTCTGGCAAGCTGCCGCTTTCAATCTGCTGGGCCAATCGCCTCCTCTGGGTGCCGCCCACGGCGCCCACGGTGCTGGAGAGCTCCTAGGGTAGGGATGAGGGTTGAGGCTGGGTTGGGGTTGAGGGGTTGTTCGTTTTGCTTTTTTAAGGGTTTAGGGTTTAGGGTTTAGGGTTTAGGGTTTAGGGTTTAGGGTTTAGGGTTTAGGGTTTAGGGTTTAGGGTTTAGGGTTTAGGGTTTACGGTTTTTAGGGTTTAGGGTTCAGGGTTTAGGGTGTAGGGTTTAAGGTTTAGGGTTTAGGGGCGGCTTGGGAGCTTTAGACCTCAGGCACTCTGGGGCATCAGCTCGCTTGAACTGCCGATGGGAGAGCCACGCCTTATGTCACATGGGGGTTTAGGGCTTAGGGTTTACGATTTTCGGGGTACCTTGTTGGGGTCGTTGTGAAAAGGGGGTCCTACTATTGGGGTCTATAGGGTCCCTTATTGTCGTAAACCCCCAGATGCGTCAACCTTGTGGGGGGGGGCTCCTGAACATTGACGTCACAGCCCGATGGGTAAGAGATCTGCGGCGTCATGGCCGACGGGTGTGGGCAGCTGGCCACGTAGCGCTCCTTGCCAAGGGCTTACTTGCAGGGCCTTGCTTTGGGGTGCGGGGATGCTTAGCTGCTGTCAGCCAAAGCTCTGCCAAAGCCATTGGAGCCTGCACAAGGGGCTGTCCACCTTAGGTGTCGCAGGACGTTAAGAGAACAGAGCAAAAAAAGGGAGGACAATGAGCCCTTCAGGCTGCCATCCAACACAAGTTGTGCGGCCAGGCATCGGCGACTGAAGTTGGAATCTGGTGCGTAGATGTTGCCGCAGTTCAGACCGCAGGCGGCCTGAGTCATGTTGCTTGCACACGTAGCCTAGCAGTGGTTACAAGTCGGTGCATGCCAGGCTGCCTGCGGTAAGCGAACCGGCGCCAGCTGGTTGGGCATGGCCTGTGGCAGCAATGCTTTGCACTAAGCAACCAGCTGAGGGGGCATTCTGTTCTTGTAATTCACCTGGTCGACGAAAAATCCGCATGTGATAAGTTGGGTTGTACACGCGTGCATGGAGTTTTCTTTTTTGGCCACCTTGCACTCTTGTGCTCTCACCTGCTGAAGCCTTGGTTGCAGGATGTTGCTGTGGGCCCTACTTTGGGCCATACCTGCTACCCGTTTTCCGTTTACTTGACGTCCCTTTCCGCGTTCGGCTTCTCGCTTCTACTCGGATTCTGGCGCCCCTGACGTGCCTGCACAGGTGTCGGCAGCACAGAACCAGCCGGGGGCACGACCTCTTGCTGGGGAGGCACAGTCAGATATAGCCATGCCGCCATGCCTTTGGAGAGAAGTAGGCTGCTCTGAGTTCAGGGTCGCAGATACGAACCTCAAGCATTCTAAAGACCTCATGATCATGTTCTCCGGAATAAAAAAAAAAACCGTGCTCAGGCTGAAAGAGCTGGTACGAACTTCCCACATCACAAAGCTGTGCCTGAATGTTCATCGGCACCGCTGAGGAACCAGCCGAAGGCGCGACCTTTACAACATGCCCACAATACACTCTCTGAAGAACTGAGCGATTATGGCTTGAGACAACTTTGAGCTGGACACTCGGGATAAAGTCACAGGCAAAAAGCTGTTTACTTGCCAGATGGGATTTCTTAATACTTCAGGGTGGCTTCCATCAGTAGGACCTTCGTGGTTCAGGACACGGCTCGACACCGCAAGGTCGCTGAACGTAAGCATTGAATCAGGCCCTCTCAGGCTAGAACAGAGAAGCACGTACACAAAATGCATGTCTTGCCATCCAGAACTGAAGATGTTTTCGATTCTTTGCGAGCCTGCACTAAGCCACACAACCATGCCAGGCCACTATTGGGGCCGGCCCTGCAGCCCCTGCAGCTGGTAACCGGCATATGGCCGGGGCAGCAGCCGGTGCAGCCAGCACGGCAGCCGGCGCAGCAGCCGGCGCAGCAGTTGGCGCAGCAGCCGGCACAGAGACTGCCGGCTGCGCATAGCGTGTGACCAGCCGCCTAATGAAGTTCACCAACGGGCATGCACAGCACGTGTCGCCACAAAAAAACAAAAGGTGCTGGCCAAGTCTAAGTGCACCTGCCACTGCTACCCACATCTCTGAAAGCGTCTGATCAAATCACTCGGAAAGGTGAAGGCAATCGAAACTCCGAAAACTGCCTTGCGAAGCCCCCAACTCCCCCACAGGAACTCGTACAAGGCCCCACCTGGCGGGAAGTGGAGCCAAGCTGTTCTGCGCCTCTCCAAGAATTGGGTCAGGTTGACACAGTCAGAGACCTCAACTCCCATTGCTCCAAAAGCTGCCGCACCCAATTTAGGGTTTAGGGTTCAGGGTTCAGGGTTTAGGGTGTAGGGTGTAGGGTGTAGGGTTTAGGTTTGAGGGCAAAATGGCAAAAAGCATCCGGAATATCAGCCAGTCAGTAGCGACTTGAGATGGGCAACTGTGATTGCCTCCGGCTGCAAACACACCAACTAGTTGCTTAAGAACCCCGAAAAAAGAGAAAATACTCTTCCTGATTAAGGGTAATATAGGGATTGTTATTTTATATTCTTGTAGATGTAGCAAGTACCTGCGACTGCGAGCCTGGTCCGCAGGCTGTGCCTGGGCCTGCCGAAGGTCATGCATGGGTGGTTGTCAAAATGATGGTCCTTCTTTGGATCCCTAGTATAATACGGCACCGAATACTTCGGGTACCCTAAAAGGGATCATAATCCACATGGTTCTGGAACTGAGGCAGATGAGACAAGCGCGCTGGCACAAAGAAAATCAGAAGGCAAGAAAGGTTCACTGCCGCACGAAATCTGGCGTAAACCTGGTGGTAAAAACGTGCATGAGATCAGACACGAAAGGCTTGCGATAAGATACGCACCCTCTCAGCATCCTGGTTGTTACCTCCTTCCCAAGTGACGAAGTATCAACTCCCCTCATTGAATTTGCATCGATGAACAACCACAATGCCTGCAGCCGCACCCGGCGGTCGGCTGGCGAAGGTGGCATGGCATCTACCTGATATCACACACACATACACACACACACACACACACACACACACACACAGAGAGACAGACAGACAGACAGACAGACAGACAGACAGACAGACAGACAGACAGACAGACAGACAGACAGACAGACAGACAGACAGAGAGACACACACACACACACACACACACAGAGCACAAGTCTGAGGGAATTTCCAAACACGGTCACATCCAGCAAAGGACTATAGGTAACACTTCCGAAAGTAGTCGAAGCTTGCGTGCCGGCGCTCCTGCCCGTGGATGGCCGGCGAAGGCGGCGCCTCGTGTCATTGCTTCAGGCTTGAAAAGCGACAGTCGCGTTTATTGGAGCATGCCTTTTCGTGCACGCAAGAGTCACTAGAAGCCTGTACTACTTGGGCTCGTGAATAGGGCAACCTGACACATCCCGTGGGTGAATGCCGAGACCTTGTCTGCCGCAGGCTCGTGTTGCAAGACTTGTCTCTGTGTCAGATACGAGTCCTACTCAGCACAAAACTGGCGCCCTAAACCCTAAACCCTATACCCTAAACCCTAAACCGTAAACCCTAACCCCATGGCGCACAAAGCAGCCTCACAAAACCCTGGAGGCCCACGCCTGGAGCGCTTTTCGAGCGCTGCTGCGGGGCGCGCGCAGCGGAGCTGGAGCAACGCAGAGAGAGCGGCTCTGGGGTTAAAGGTTTAGGGTTTAGGGTTTAGGGATTAGGCTTTCTTGGGTTTTTAGGGTTTTAGGGCTTTTGGGGTTTTTAGGGTCTTTAGGGTTTTTAGGGTTTAGGGTTTAGGGTCTCGAACAGGTGGATCATTTGGACCCTCTTAGTTATGGTGCAGATGGCCTTGCTGGGCAGCACAAGACATTCGGGGGAGATCAAGGGGAGGCCTTCTCATCGAATGTCCCTACTCATGCTCAGAAGGGGAAACCCTAAACCCTAAACCCTAAACCCGGCCTGCATCGAGGTCATCAGGTAGACCCCAGCCGTGGCTTCGAGGCTCGTCTGACCAGGCACTTCGCTCGGGTTTCTTCTCAGCGGTACTTGTTCCTCTAAAGCATGATCTTGAAGCGACTCTTGAAGGCATGCGAAGCACATGCGAAGCACTCTCTATATATAGCACTGCATGAATATTTATATACATATATATATATATATGTGTATACATATACATATACATATACATATACATATACATATACATATACATATACATATACATATACATATACATATACATATACATATACATATACATATGTACACACATATACATAGAAATAGTTATTTATTTCTTTATTCATGTAATTCTTTATTTATTCACTTATTTAGACATATATACATATATGTATATATATATATATATATTTATTTATTTATATTTTATATTTATATCTATATTTATATTTACTTTCATATTTACATTTATATATATATATATATATATTCATCTCATATTTTATGTTTAAATTTATATTTAAATTTATATTTAGATTTATATTTATGTTTCTATTTACATTTATTTGTGTATTCATATTTATATTTCTATTTATGTTTATATTTATTTGTATATTCATATTTAGACTTATATTGATGTTAATATTTTATATTTTCGTTTATATTTATATATATATTATATTCTTTCTTTTTATTTCTGTATACATTTATATTTATATTTGTATTTATATCTATATTTGTATTTATATTTGTATTTATATTTATATTTATATTTGTATTTATATTTATATTTATATTAATATTTATTCACATGTGTATATATATATACATACATATTTGTATTCATTTTTCTGTATATGTATATGCTATATGTATATTCATATATATGTATAAACAAATTTTATATTTATATTTATTTATTTATATTTTGATTTAGATTTAGATGAGTTTTTTCATCTGCTTGTCTGAATTATACCCTCTGAAAGAGTAACTGCAACGCGCCTGCCCATCTGCGGGCTTCCGGCGCGTTCTCGTCCTCGCGCGTGCTGTAGTGCGAAGCCGAGGAAGGGATGCCCCAACCTGTCAGAGAATCTGGGAAGTTTAGGGTTTAGGGTTTAAGGTTTAGGATTTAGGTTTTAGGGTTTAGGGCTAGGGCATGAGGGCGTGCAGAGGTTTTGAGTTAGGGGTTTCGAGGGCTAAGTTCTTGACTCATGATGGAACATTTGCTCTTGATGAGCAGATGTGCACCTACACATGGCAAGAGGATTCCCCCCCCCCACGAGCGATTGTTTCATCAGGTGTGAGTCCACTACTTGGTCGTAGGCAGGTTCTGGCACGATAGGCGGAAATGCGGCTCTGAATTATGCTGACAAGTATGACAACAAACAAGACAACACCTACGATAACAGATGCAGCAACACATGCAACACTTGAGTGGGACGGCCCTCGAGAGTTCGGCATCAGCAGTTTCGGACAACACTCAGCAACGAAGGCAAGAGCGTGAAGAAGTCTCCAAGCCCCCCATAATTAAGGGAGCATCAGGTGCATCATCGTTCAGACCCCCCCCCCCCCCCTCCACCCAAACAAGCGCTGCCGCCCTGCCCGAAACCACCATCAGAAATGGGTTTGCCTCCAAAGCCAGCCATTCTCTCACAAGAAGCTTCTGTGACACACTCACGTCGCACACGTACGACAGTGCACATGCCGCAACGTCAAGACGGTTGCCCTAAACCCTAAACCCCTCAACCCCTAAACCCTAAATGTGGCTTGGCTCTGGCCTGAATATTGCGCCTCGTCTGCCTGGACTGCCGGGAAGCTCCAGCCACCACCTGAGATTCGGCCACAAGGACCTTGCGCCCCCCCTTTGTTACCTTAGCTCCTGTTGCACGTTCCAGAGATGGAGCGGCAGACTATGATACGGCTTGGGTAAAAGTTCAGCCGGGCCATCCCAAAAGCTGCATGACTGCAGCAGCGGAAGCTAAGAGCGAAGACAGAGAGGCACCATGCAGACAAAATGTCGCAGTAGTTCTCTGCACCGCTCCTTTGAAAAGCATTTCTCTTGGCAGAGACCTGTGCATTGAGCTGCCTCCCCGTTACATAGACCTCTGCGTGGAGGTGCATCAATTTACATAGGCCCTTGCTTGGCATGCATCAACTCACCTAGGCCATACTTTCACCTCCAGCGACTTCGAGATGCAACGGCATACACAAGTCTTTGCGTTGAGAGGCAACAAGTGACATGGACCTGTCAGGCTTTTTTTTGAGATGCATCGGCTTACAACAACAAAAGTGCTTCTCTACTTAAAGAGCCCAGCCTCCTGCCATGTCACATGCAGCCTCTCTGGGTCTCTCAGCCGAATCCCTGCATCCCCAAAGTCCCACAACACGGCATCACTTGACATGCCGAAACCAAGGGTATGGCAATAGAGGAGGCTGAGTTAGGCAAGATCATACCCACGACCAGTGTCAGACGTAGCGACCACGCTATCACGGAAAACGCAAAGCCGAAGACCCTCATCCTAAACCCTAAACCCTAAACTCTAAACCCTAAACCCGAAACCCTAAACCCTACTGATTCTAAACAAACCAGAACAGCTCCGAGGTCTCGGCCCCCGCTTCGGAAGCTCTTGTTCGGGGACGTGGATGGCCCAAATGTCTCTTGAAAGTCGTCCTGCAGTCGCCCTACACCCCAAAATGCCCAGGAATGCTGCACCACGCCCTGAAACTAGTGTTTAGGGTTTAGGGTTTAGGGTTTAGGGTTTAGGGTTTAGGGTTTAGGGGCCTTTCATAAACGCAGCAAATTCAGAAGGCATCCTAAGCCAAGCTGGGACTGGAACCTCTCGAGTCGAGAAACCCTCGACATCCCTACAGGCCGGAAAGTGCCGGGAGCCATATGGACGGATGAGGGATCCCCGCTATTGCTATTACTATTACTATGACTATTACTATGACTATGACTATGACTATGACTATGACTACAACTATGACTATGACTATTACCAGTACAATTACTCTTACTCTTACTCTTACTCTTGCTCTTACTCTTGCTCTTACTCTTACTCCTCATGTAGCTCCCCAATGGCCACAGGGGGCCGCAGCGCACCCGTGGGCGGTCCGGCTAGCATGGCTCGGGCCCCTGCTGAGAGCTCATGCAACTTGACCGAACCGTGTCTTAGGTGGGAGCTCTTGCCCTAAACCCTAAACCCTAAACCCTAAACCCTAAACTCTAAACCCTAAACCCTAATGCCTAAACCCTCAACCCCCTAAACCCGCCTGGCGCCTCAACCTCCTGCACCCACTTGATGCCTACTTGTGGCAGAAAGCCTGGGCTCGATCTTCTGCGTTTCTTGCCAGTGCCATCACTCTCAAGGCTCTTCTGTGACGGGCATGGGGGGGCAAAGAGACCTCCTTGCCGAGATGGGCTACACTGGCTACGTTGGCTACATTGGCTACATTGGCTAGTTGGTGGTGGCACCTGTAGCTGGAGCAAGATGCTGCGATGCGAAGGAAACGAAGCTCCGAACTCCAGCCGCCTCTCTTGCCGGCAACAGAGCGAACCCCGTGGTCACACGTGAATACGAAGCAATCCAGCAAACTTCTTCATGCCACCCATGGCGTGAAGCTTTCACAGATGATACTCCACCTTTGAGATCCTATCCCTAAGCCCAAGCAGCCACAAGCCCTGCTTCAGTGCAGGGACAGACTCTGAGCCTCCCCGGCTCCCCGCAATGCGCCATTTCTCGAAGGCTTCAACGACCTCCAAAGACAGCGCCTGGCAAAGAGACGGCCCTCAAAGCTTCTTGCGAAATGTTACAACTTCAACTGTCCAGGGACAGGGAAGGGGGGGGGAGGGGGAGCGAGGGGCCAGACTCTCTGAACCCAACTGCAACTGCCGGAAACTGCTGAACACATGCCATCCAAGCTCAAACAAAGCTCAAGCTGGCCAGGAGCACACGACAGTGGAGTAGGGCATCCACCAGCTCCTTCTGCGCCTGCCAGGTGCTTCAAAAACTCGCTGGGGTTCTTTGTTCTGGCCGCATTGAATTTGACTTCCTTGTGCTTCTGCAGAAGGAACATTCTACATGGTTCCCTCCTTTGGCTTCAAAATAGGGTTTAGGGTTTAGGGTTTAGGGTTTCGGGTTTAGGGTTCAGGGTTTAGGGTTTAGGGTTTAGGGTAGATGACCCATCTTGGGCAACTGCCTCGCTGGCTTCGAGGCGACCCTCGGCGAAGTCGCCCGCCAAGCGCTGCAAGCGCCGCAGAGAGGCCTGCATCGAAAAGGGTTTAGGGTTTAGGGTTTGGGGTTATGGGTTTTTGGTGTTTAAGACAGTAAGACCCCGTGTTATACACACAAAATACTTTTCTCTATGGTTGTGTTCTCATGTCACCCGCCAAGTTCATTTCCAAACATCCTTCTTAGAAAAGCGGTCGGGCAACCAGTATGTGTATGTGTAAGCGGAGATCTGAGAATAGACGTGCCTTACTTGGTCAGACGAAAGACGTCATGCTTTGCTTCTCATTCGCCTGCGTATTCTCGATGTCACAACCTGATGAGATCATATTGAGATGCCATAATAGTGGTATGCTACAGAACAAGATGATTGTATCCCAAAAAGTGCATGGGGCGTAACCCTGGAAAAAACGCAGGCCCGCAGCGTGTCTTCCATACTGATTGATTGAGTCTTCTGAGCCTCAAGATCCTGACCGAATGCCCGACACTCCAGCTCTGAAACCCTAAACCCTAAACCCTAAACCCTAAACCCTAAACCCTAAACCCTAAACCCTAAACCCTAAACCCTGCCTACAAAAAAACGCACGAAAGCACATGCTCTCTTTCCATTTCGGTTCCTCGCGGGAGGCCACTGCATCCACGATCTCCTTGGAAGGCGCCTGGGCCTTTGCATCAATAAGTTTAGGGTTTGGGGTTTAGGGTTAGGGTTTAGGGTTTAGGGTTTAGGGTGTTGGGATTTTCTGGGATTTATGGCCCTCAACGTCCTTCAACCCTAAGCGTCTGGGGCCACAGACCTGTCGGCGGGGTCGGCTGAGGCAACGTGCTAGTGGACCGGCACGCACATCACGCCTTTTGGGGGATTCGCAGCGCGTCAAGGAGCAGCACAAGAAAGGGGGGTCGAAGTGCTGATGCAAGCAACAGCCTTGTTGATCCGCTCACTTCGCAGCTACTCTTCCGCCATTTTCAGCGGCTTGTGGAACGACACAACTTCTAGAGTCGGCTGGGCTCGGCAGTCGAGACTCCCAGAAGGGAATACATCCGCTGGGAACTGGTGTCCCACTTCAGATGCTTGGTGTTACGAAGGTCCAGAACTTACTGAAGCTTCCACAGCTTTCGGCTCTTGGCAGCATACCGGAACTGGGGAAGCATTGGGGGCCCTCTTGCTTCATACCCATGCACTCCATGCACTCCATGCACATATGCATACATAATTATGCATCAGCTTAGGGTTTGGGATGGTTTCGGGTTTAGGGTTTAGGGTTTAGGGTTTCGGGGTCATGCCAGATTCTTCAAGTTCGTAGGCTCAAGGCCGAGCTACGGGTCTCTTGGACTAAGGGGGGCGGGGAGTGCGCGGCTGGGAATTCGTGTCCCCAGCTGGCCCTGCAATCGCAGCATGAGCTGAAGGAACACTTCCCAAAAACTCGGGACAAACTTCTCGTGTTCGGAGGGCATCCGGACAGCTCCAAGCATATAATAACATTCAAACTGCAGGCGGCGCAGCCCAAGTTATCACTTCAGGCTGGGCAAAAATGGTGGTCCTGTTTTGTTTGGATAGACCCTTCCCCTGGCACAAGCACTTAATATAGAAGACAACGTACACTGCACACGCTCAGCGGAGGCTGTCCCACAACCATCTGGGGGCTTCTTGCGGGTCTCCCCTTGCCTGTCCTACTTGTTTTGTCTTATGAGCACAAACCCTGTTGGCCAGCCGTTTGCTCATGGGTCTTCGTGCCAAAGCTGGAAGGGAACCAAGCCAAGCTGGGACCCTGAATTGTGGCATGCGCAACAAGCAATAGCTCGCCGAATTCAAGTTGCCTCCTCCATTTCTCTATTGAACAAACAGCGGGGGACGCCGCCTCCTCACGACGGCAAGTATTCTACATCCTCGGAATCTGTCGAGGGCTGTTGACCTCAAGCCAATATTGGCACCATCTGTTGGAAGGAGCTCCACTAGAAGAACAGCAGCTCCTAAAATCTTCTGAACCTGTGGGCGCGACCAGGACACTAAGCGCTCCGCGTAGGGACGACCGCCTTCCAGGCGACAAATCCTCCAGGCCCTGTGCGACAAGGCCATGCATCACTATGGCCTTGACCCTAAACCCTAAACCCTAAGCCCTAAACCTTAAACCCTAAACCCTAAACCCTAAACCCTAGACCCTAAACTAAACCCTAAGTTCCCACCTGGTCTGCTTGGACCGTATGCACCCTTCTTTTAAGGTGCCTGGGCCCAGAGCTTTTTCCCGGCAGTCCAGAAACACCTTGCTGGATGGACAATGGGCGCCATTGGAGAACGGTCGAGTACAACCTCATCTGGGCTGTGCCGTGCCTGGCTGGGCCATCCAGCCACAAGAGTTCTCCCATACTCTCCATGATGGGAGTGCCCTAAACACAACAGCCCTCTGAAACCTCTTCTTGGAACTGACATGTGGGTGCTCCCCTGACTGGGACTGCCCTCTCAAACCCTCTTCTGGGGCCCGCATAAATGCAATGGTTTGGGTGGAGTGTGAAAGCTCAAAGCGTGTGGGGAAGGGAAACCGAGCACCAATGAAAACTGTTGGACTGCTGGAAACAGCTGCCTTCGCGTGATATGCCGCTGGGTGTGTCGGGACACCATGTCCGCATGGTTCTTGCTGCCGCTGCGCGGCGAGACGCCCTAAAATCTAAACGCGAAACCCTAAACCCTAAACCCCAAACCCCAAACTCTAAACCCTAAACCCTAAACCCTAAACCCCAAACCCTAAACCCTAAACCCCAAACCCCAACCCTAAACCCTAAACACTTTCGACTTGCCAGGCCTCCAAGGTCACCACAGAGCTCCTAGGCGAGGACCGCAGGGACAGACGCAGTCCAGCCCGGCGGCCACCGAGCTTCTCCTCAAGGAGGGGGTTTGGGGTTTGGGGTTTAGGGTTTAGGGTTTGGGGTTTAGGGTTTGGGGTTTAGGGTTTAGGGTTTGGGGTTTGGGGTTGAGGAGTCCAGAAACACTTTGACGGATGCCACCCAAACAAAAACTGCAATGCTGGCGGGAAGTCCTATAAGGCCCAAGACTCCAGTGAAATCTCGGGGGGGGCCTTGATACTTGCAATCGGGTTTTGGAGGTAATTCTGGGGGGGGGGGGGGGGGGGGGGGGGGGGAGGGTGAATATAGTATGACTTTATAGAAGGGAATACTGTTACTAAGTCTTCCAGCTTTCTCTTAGTGGAGCCAGGGAGCTGCTATGTCCTCCACCAGTCGTTCCAGATCATCAAAGCCTCAAGAAGCTGTGACCAAACAGAAAATAGCCCCAAACACCTTTTATAATAAGGCCTTTGGGCCCAAAAAACCTTGAACCAGGAGTCCTTGCCATAGTACCCATCAGCAGAGGAATTGAGATTCCATGAACAGATGGAAGAGAGGTTCGCGCTCGTTGCACAGAAGCGTGTAGTTTTGACCGTACATGGAACGTTACAGAAGCTGAAGGCCAGTGTTTCACTGAAAACCTCAACCTGCACGCGTGCAACGTGCCTCATGACCTGACCAGCCCAAACGCAACACACGCGCGCCCAGCCCTTCCTACAACGAATCCTCGGCCCAGCAACGCTTAAGCGCCTGCCTTTCGAAGATGCTGAACTCCGTGTCCTGCCAAGAGGTGCTGATGAATCTGAGTTTCCCTGAACTTCAAGCATCGTCTTGGGCCAGCATCCAAAATCGCGAAGTCAGGCGCGCGCAAGGGAGATGGTTTCTAGCCAGCGGATCTAGAGATTCTGCTTCTGGCATACAGAACAAAAACAGACAGCTGTGAATGTCTCTATCAATCTCTCACAGCCGGACACTGCATCCAGGAATTTGAAGAAACCCCGCCATTTTCAAGGGTGTGGAGGGCGAGAAGCATAGAAGAGCGTTGTCTCAACAATCACCGGCTTCAATATCACTATCTGCCAGCACAGTACTCGCAGCAAGGGTGGACTTGACATTGACCCGACCTGCCTTGTGTTTAACACACGGCCATCTTAATCCCAAGGAGGCTTGCAGCAGTGCAAGAGCTTGCTGAAGAATGCCGTCTGCTACTGTTTTTGATCGGTCTAAGGGTTCATAAAAACCTGCGTTCCTCGTGGTCGCGCAGCTCCGGCCATGGCTCACTGGGAGAAGCCAAGCCTCGCCAAGCGGTTCTTCACCCTAAACCCTTAACCCTAAACCCTAAACTCTAAACCCTAAACCCTAAACCCTTCGGATCTCACCGAACAATGCCTCACGCCTACTTGTGGGGCTCATGTGCCTCCGAAGCGGTGCAGAGCTAAGCCGCTGGAGCCGTCAAACTCCTCATGCCTGGGCAGCTGAAATATGTGAAGATGGTTGCAGCATGCTTAGGGTTTAGGGTTTAGGGTTTAGGGTTTAGGGTTTAGGGTTTAGGGTTTAGAGTTTAGGGTTTAGGGTTTAGGGTTTAGGGTTTAGGGTTTAGGGTTTAGGGTTTAGGGTTTAGGGTTTAGGGTTTAGGGTTTAGGGTTTAGGGACATGGATAACCCTATCAAGGCAGTGGCGGAGGATTGAAGAAGAAGTCATTGTACTGCCTACTGAGCCGTCTTCTTCGGGGTAGTGGCCACAACATGGGCAGATTTGTCGATGTGCCGGTATTGCATAACCGAAAGGGGCGGGGGGGGGGGGGTGAGGAACAAGGGGAGAACAAGTGATGCCTGAGTTCCTACGGAGGCATCTCCGACATTCTCCAGACAAGACGAGTGGAAGAATGTGTAAGGCATCTGCAAGAGCGATGCGGGCATTGGTCGTCAAAATCCTAACCCAGGAATCGTGCAAGCGATCAACATGGTGCCGAGGATCGTGGGTACACCTCCCGCTGGGCCCGGGTCCGAAGCATCCAGCGGGCATGGCACATCCTCTCACGGCTTCAGGCTTGGGGGTTCAACCCTAAACCCTAAACACTAAACCCTAAACCCTAAACCTAAACCCTAAACCCTAAACCCTATCTAGGGCTCGGTCCAGCTTGAGGCTGAGGACGAACCTGCGCCATCTGCGGTCCGAGATCAGTGACATGGCCTGCGCAAACAAAAAAGCGTCCCTGGAGGGTTTAGGGTTTAGGGTTTAGGGTTTAGGGTTTAGGGTTTAGGGTTTAGGGTTTAGGGTTTAGGGTTTAGGGCTGAGGGCCGCTGAGGGTTTAGGGTTGAGGGGTTCCTCAAGAGAGAGGCATGTCTCGACATCCGGTCCCTGCGCCGAGCGGCGGAGTCGAAGATGTTGCTCCCCCGTTTTAGGCGAGCATAGCCCAGTGCATCCGTGAAGCTGGTGGCAAAGCGTGTGCAGAGCTGCGCGACCATCAGGTTCATCAGGAAGACGTGCCAGAAGCCGGCAAAGCCCAGCACGAACCAGACCAGCAGAGGCTCGGGGGCCTCGGCGATCTCCTCAAAGTTGTTCGCGCTGTATGTCTTGACAGCAACTGCAAGCAGAGACTGGAACCCGGAGGGCAGGTCGTGGAAGTCACGAAGCTGGACCCCACCAAGGCTTGAGCTCTGGGGGAGGCAGGCCAGGGCAGATGCAAAAGAGGCCGTCAGGAAGACCAGGATGCCCAGATACAGGAACCTATGCTGAACCTGGAACCCTAGCAACGATTATAATTGTAGCTGTTTCTTAGGAATCGGAAGTACCCAAAATTAAAAAGCATTTCCAAGCATCCCTAAGGAACAGCTCCCACCACAAGCTGGCCACAAGGAGCACGAAGCAGGAAAGGTGGATGTTGCCTCGGACCGTGCCAGAACTCTGTGAATCTCTGCACACCCGAAGAGTTCTGGCCTGGGATGTCTTCCAGCATCTTCCGCGGTCTTTCTTGCAAGAAGCTGGCTTGGCTAACAAGTGAGGAACTGAGGCGGCTGCTGTGGATGAGTTCACAGGTGAGGACGAAGTAGAGCATCATAGGTATACCTAACAAAAACGCAGAAGGCCAGCAGAGTCTTCGAAACTGCGATAAACAGCGACTGCTGCTGTGGCAACCGCGACGTGCAGAGGCGTCTGTTAACCGGGGTAGGGTGTACTTGGAGGTCAATTTGTACTTATATAACCCCAATTATAAGCTTAATTATAACCTACTTCGAGGACTTAAGGGACTTAGGAGTCTTATAAGTACGGTACCCTGAACCTAGGCCTGCGGGGATGTGGATCCTGCCATGACTCTTGAGGCTAAAACCCTAAACCTAAACCCTAAACCCTAAACCCTAAACCTAAACCCTAAACCCTAAACCCTAAAAGCCAAGGCACATGAGATTCTTTGAAACCAGTCTTCAACTTGGCAGTACCACCCGCCAGAGTGACAGCATGACAGAGCCTGAGTTGATGCTCTTAGGGTTTTAGGGTTTTAGGGTTTGGGGTGTTTAGGGTTTAGGGTTTAGGGTTCAGGGTTCAGGGTTCAGGGTTCAGGGTTCAGGGTTCAGGGTTCAGGGTTCAGGGTTTAGGGTTTAGGGTTTAGGGTTCAGGGTTCAGGGTTTAGGGTTTAGGGTTTAGGGTTTAGGGTTTAGGGTTTAGGGTTTAGGGTTTAGGGTTTAGGGTTTAGGGTTTAGGGTTTAGGGCTTCGATCAAGGGTTTCGAGAGGTTTCGAGTCTGTGGTTTTCGGGTAAAGTACGGCTCTGGCATGAGAGGTGTTCACACGCACATCGATCCAGCCTCGCAACCCAAGGTTCGACTGGAAGACAATGCAGAACCGGCTCCATGCAAACGAGCGCCTTAGGTGCCCGAATTCCTTCCAGCTCAAGGTATTGCGGAAGTACATTGCAACAGCATTTTGTGCAGTGCAATTCAACCTAAATCTGTCTGGCCGCAAACAAATGTAGCACCAGAATGAATTCCACGCAATCCTTGAAAGATCTCGTGAGATACGCCGGCAGCCGCACGCAGCAACACGCGCTAGTGTCCTGGCTGGCAGCACGCTTTGCCTAGCCTGCAGTGGATGCCTTGCACTCCTTAAGCCTCTAGGGTTTAGGGTTTAGGGTTTAGGGTTTAGGGTTTAGGGTTTAGGGTTTAGGGTTTAGGGTTTAGGGTTCAGGGTTCAGGGTTTAGGGTTGCAGATTCCTTCTCTGAAAACTTCAGGTGGCAAGCATTACACCTCTCACGCCTAGAGCCCGATTGGGCAACTTACTGGCTGGTTCTCAGTAGGGAATGAGGGAATGAGGCACCCTATAATATCCCTTCAGGGTGTATATAGGGCCCACTACTTCCCTCATCTCCCTACGAAGAATTAGGGGCTTTAGCGCCTGGTTCGTGAATGAGCTGGCCCAAAGGTAGCTGTGCTTTGCCAGTAGCTGCCCGAGGCTGCATGCATAGGTGAACAGCCGGCAGCCAATGACCTCAGGAGCCAGAGCTGCTCTTATATAGGGTTTAGGGTTTAGGGTTTAGGGTTTAGGGTCTAGGGTTTAGGGTTTAGGGTCTAGGGCTTAGGGCCTAGGGCTTAGGGCTTAGGGTTTAGGGCTTGGGGTTTTAGGGTTTAAGGTGAGCTTATGCTATGGTGCCGGGGAAGCAAAGAAACCCCCCAGTTGTGCTGTTCTTCGAAACAGTAAACCCTAAACCCTAAACCCTAAACCCTAAACCCTATGTTGCAACCAGGCGTCCAGCCAGCGTGCCTTGTTATGTTTGTCAACGCCTGGGATGTGCTGGAATCCAAGGATGAAGCTGAGCAAGGAGAGTACAAACCTCAAGGATGCAGGCCTACAGTTTTTAAGCCTAACCCTCGGGTTCAGGGTTCAGGGTTTGGGGTTTAGGGTTTAGGGTTTAGGGTTTAGGGTTTAGGGTTTGAGGTTTGGGGTTTAAGGTTTGGGGTTTGGGGTTTGGGGTTTAAGGTCTGGGGTTTAGGGTTTAGGGTTAACAAGACTCTTGCTGAAGTGGTGGTATTTCGCAAGCCTCTCTTGACCAAGAAGCAGGAGTTTCGAGACCAGGAAAGCCCCGCGGCAGATGCCGGACCACAGCAGGTCCGACATGAAGACGGCACACGGATGGCAAATCACCCCGGGGTCGCTGTGCCTCAGCAGCGAGGAGCAACTCCACGAGATGCTCCAAGCACTGGCTTTTCGTATCGGGGTCCTTTAAAGAAAAAGGCATGAAACGATGCAAAGAAGTTTTTGAGATGTGCCGCAACCCTTGCCTCACGAAAATTGAATCTGCCCCACTGTGGTTCAAGCATACTCCATGCTTTGGAGGAGATCATCGTCTGTGTGGGAAGATGTCGGGGGGCACTCTTGCGTAACTTGCAGTTCCCGCGGTCTCCCAGCGGCTACTGACGTCGACCGAGTGACTACAGCAAAGAACACTCCTGCTTGCACTTATTGGCGTCCTTTCTTGATCCCCTTCGAAGGCAACCCGAATTAGAACACCCCAAAACAGCCCCAAACACCCCTCCAGCGCGTCTTGCAGCCATGTCGCTTGACCAGCTGAGGCATGGAACTGGTGAGGCGCAGCTCCTCTACTTACGTTGAGTTTAGGTTTAGGTGGCTTAGGGTTGTGAGACATGTTGGATGTTGTGCATTGGGTCGCGTGCGGCGCAACCTGCGACATGGCTGTGCCACCAATGACATGGGACATGAAAACCTCGGAATAAACCATGCATCTGCACTCGCCAGGACTAGCCTAAACCCTGACCCTAAACCCGAAGCCCTCAACCCTAAACTAGGCTTCACAGGCCGGCACTGTGGCCAGTAGGATCTCCTCATCCACCAGAAATGGCCCCACGTAGTAGTTCACCCGGCGATTACCCTTGGGCAAAAGACGTTCTTTCCAATTGCTGTGTGAATCATTTTTACATACATACATTAAAGATATATATATATATATATATATATATACGTTTATATACACATGTATGTATGTGTGTATGTATGTATGTATGTATGTATGTATGTATGTATGTATGTATGTATGTATGTATGTATGTATGTATGTATGTATGTATGTATGTATGTATGTATGTATGTATACATATATACATATATACATATATACATATATACATATATACATATATACATATATACATATATACATATATACATATATACATATATACTATCTAATATATCCTATATCCATATATACATATTATAACCTATATACATAGTCACAGACATACATACATACATATATACATATATACATATATACATATATACATATATACATATATACATATACATATATACATATATACATATATACATATATACATATATATATATACACATATATACATATATACATATATACATATATACATATATGCTACCCCCCCCCCCCAGCGACCTACCCTTTTTAGGCCTTTTTAGGCCTTTTTAACAGAAAATGACAAAGAAGGCCCAAAAGTCGCGTAGTTAATCACCGGGTAATGAAGGACAGTTACTGGGACACCCACCTCACAGACCCCGATAAGCTGGCATTGGAAGAATCTACATTTTGAATCTGAAGCGGACAATGCTGTTTTTAGATGTTTAGATCAGTGTTTTTCTATGCAAATTGTGCGTTTCAAGGGCAATTAATGTTTTGTTGAGCAACTAATTTATTTTTGCAATTGTGTTTGTACGAGGCAAAGTATTAATCAAATAGTGAAACATTTTTCCTGGTTCTATGCGAATTTAGCTACTAGAGTAATCATTAAGCAAAGAGCCCAATTTGACTCAAGTGAATACTATTTAAAGGAGCATACTCAACCAAGATGCGAAATAAACACCATTTTCAACCAAAAAATGGCAAAGTGTGCGTTTAAAGTGCAAATACTGTATTTATACAATTGTGTTTGTACTAGGCAAAGTATGCTCTCTGAAAAGTCCACTGAAATACCTTATGTTTACATATTCATGAATCGTTTTTCTTTTTGAAATAATCATTTTATGCGAATTTAGCTACTAGAGTAATTATTAAGCAAATAGCCCAATTTGACTCAAGTGAATACCATATCAAGGACCATACTCAACCAAAATACGAAAGAAGCACCATATTCAACCAAAATATGGCAAAGTGTGGTTTAAAGGGCAAATAGTGCTTTGTTGAGCAACTAATGCATTGAAACAGTTGTGTTTATACCAGGCAAAGTATTATTGAAGTACTATCTGCAAAGTCAAATGAAACACCTTCTGTTTACATATTCATGAAACAATTTTTTTGAAGTATTCATTCTATGCGAATTTAACTACTAGAGGAATTCTTAAGCAAATAGCCCAATTTGACTCAAGTGAATACTATTTAAAGGACCATACTCAACCAAATACGAAATAAACACTT